GGGGCAGGGGATACTGATCAATGGGCAGTTCCCGGGGCCGCAGATCGATGCCGTGACCAACGACAACCTCATCATCAACGTCTTCAACAGCTTGGGAGAGCCCTTCCTCATCTCCTGGTCAGTGCTTCTTCCTTCCCCGCTTCGTCAATGTAGCATTGCAGGAGCCGCTAATTCGCGAATGGCACCCCGCCTGATCCGTCTTCCCCAGCTCCAATCATCGAGAGAAACCGGCGCACCACCTTTTCCACTTGCTCCATCACTCCAAGGCCTCTTCCTTCTCTCCGGGATTCCCTCCGCGAGATTCATGAATTGGAGAAATGCCTTCTTTCTCCATTGCTGCATCGAGTAGATTCACAAGTAGTTGTTGGCGTACGCCATTAAAAGACCAAAATTATTTATTTGGTACTGCTAGCTGTAACTCGGGATACGTATCTTTGACCTCCGGCCCGAGAGAATCTAAAGATGGGCGATGAGTTACAGCGACGATGGGCTCTTTGCTGTGGATTCGGAGCAGTATCGACCATTTTCTAAGAATGATAAAATATCATCCAATCACACTATTCCACAAGAGTGATCTTCATGACCCAATGGCTGCTTTGGTTGTTCGTTTCTGGTGCAGGAATGGTATCCAGCAGAGGAGAAACTCGTGGCAGGATGGGGTTTATGGCACTACTTGCCCCATCCCGCCAGGAAGGAACTTCACCTACGTGCTGCAAGTCAAGGATCAGATTGGAAGCTACTACTACTTCCCCTCGCTGGCCTTCCACAAGGCAGCGGGGGCCTTCGGGGGCATCAGGATTCTTAGCCGCCCGATGATCCCCGTCCCCTTCCCTCCGCCTGCCGGGGATTTCACCGTTCTGGCCGGGGACTGGTTCAAGGCCAATCACACTGTAAAGTTCTCTGCCAAGCGTTGTTCATTCATTGTTGTTTTCTCCGTGTTATTTTCGTGCCTCATACATATTTTCGACTCATTTAATCACAAATAATATGAAATGTATTTTTGTTTTCCATTCATTTAATAAAAAATAATGTGAAATGGAATATTCTTAGTGCCCATTTTTATTTTTATTTTCACCAAATCGGGAGCCGTTGACTTACTGATGCTTTCCTCCTAATAGTCCTTGAAGGCGATTTTGGATAGCGGGAGAAATCTTCCCTACCCCGATGGGCTTCTCATCAATGGACGCGGATGGAACGGCAACACATTCACAGTTGACCAAGGTAATTAATTTGCCGATCCGAGAATCATTACGACCGCAGACTTTCGAACGTAATGGGTTGACGCCAATCAGTACTGCCACCCAACCATGTAGCTCTGTGGGTCGGAGAATATTCGCAGAGCAGCATAGGCTGTTCCAGTTGGCCCACATTTGAAGAATTCTATAATTTCTATAAATATCTTGGTCACAGTTTTGCCTCTTTTTTTATTTATTTTCCAGGTAGAACGTACAGGTTTAGAATATCCAACGTGGGGTTGACCCAGTCCATAAATATCAGATTCGAAGGGCATAGTATGAAGCTTGTGGAGGTTGAGGGGTCCCACACACTCCAGAACACCTACTCCTCCCTCGATGTCCACCTGGGTCAGTCCTACTCGGTTCTTGTGACCGCTGACCAGCCGGTACGCGACTACTACATCGTGGTTTCCAGCAGGTTCAGCACCCCGGTGCTCACAACCACAGCGGTGCTGCACTACAGTGGGTCTTCTAGTGCCGTTAAAGGCGTACCCCCAGGTGGGCCCACAATCCAGATCGATTATTCACTCAACCAGGCTCGTTCTATCAGGTAGGATCACCCACCCTCCCCTCCCCCCCTCTCTCTCTCTCTCTCCTCTCTCTCTCTCTCTCTCTCCTCTCTCTCTCTCTCTCTCTCTCTCTCTCTCTCTCTCTCTCTCTCTCCTCTCTCTCTCTCTCTCTCCCCTCTCTCTCTCTCTCTCTCTCTCTCTCCCCTCTCTCTCTCTCTCTCTCTCCCCTCTCTCTCTCTCTCTCTCTCCTCTCTCTCTCTCTCTCTCTCTTTCTCTCTCTCTCTGTCTCTCTCTCTCTTTCTCTCTCTCTGTCTCTCTCTCTCTTTCTCTCTCTCTGTCTCGTTCTCGCTCTTTCTTTCTGTGTCTGTCTGTCGTTCAACCCTTCTCTGAATTTACCCTTTGATAAAAAGAAATTCTATGTTTTTTGATCAGCGGGGCGTTCTCGTGTGAACCCATTCCTCGGATTTCTATATAATCGTTTCTATCGGACAGCTTTCTTCAATTGTTCTAGTGTGAAGAACACATTCTGTCAGTATTTGCACTCGTGATAAAAACTATTTCGATGTTCTCGTGTGAACCCATTCATCGGATTTTTGTACAATCTTCTCTTCAACAGCGTTCTTCAATTGCCTAGATACTGAATGAATGTGCTATTGCTCATCTTGTTCTTTCTTTCCGCAAACTAGATGGAACCTGACGGCGAGCGGCCCGAGGCCCAATCCCCAGGGTTCCTATCACTACGGGATGATCAACACCACCCGGACCATCCGCCTGGCGAACTCTGCGCCGGTGATCAACGGGAAGCAAAGATACGCCGTGAACAGCGTGTCATTCGTCCCCGCGGATACTCCGCTGAAGATTGCAGATTTCTATAAGATTCCTGGGGTTTTCAGCCTCGGGAGCATCCCTGATAACCCGACGTTCGGAGGTGGCTATCTGCAGACCTCCGTCATGGCGGCCAATTTCCGAAACTATGTGGAGATCGTCTTCGAGAACTACGAGAACACGGTGCAGTCGTGGCATATCGACGGCTACGCCTTCTTCGTCGTCGGGTAACTCGCTCACTCTCAGAGCACTTCAGCTCAGCCCCTCCTTTTTTTCTTCTATTCATTCCCCTTCATCTTCTCCAGTTCTGTACGCATGGAAATCTGAATAATATGGCAATTCAGGATGGACGGGGGACAGTGGTCGTCCGCGAGCAGGAAGGGGTACAATCTGAGGGACACTGTCGCTCGAAGCACGGTTCAGGTAAAGGAGGAAATTACTCCCACCCTCCACCTCCTATCGACTTCACATCATACGCTGCCATTAGAGGAGGAGGAAGAAGAAGAAGAAGAGGAAGAAGCTGATGATGGTGGCGATGGGATTGCAGGTGTATCCGAATTCGTGGACGGCGATCTACATGGCGCTGGACAACGTGGGGATGTGGAACATACGGTCGGAGAACTGGGCGCGGCAGTACCTGGGGCAGCAGTTCTACCTGCGTGTCTTCTCCCCGGCCAACTCCTGGAGGGACGAGTACCCCATCCCCAGGAACGCCCTCCTCTGCGGGCGCGCCAAGGGCCGCCGGACCAGGCCCCTCTGAGAGATTCCTCCGGATACACACACGCACACTCTCTCTCTATCTCTTTCTCCTCTGGGAGCTCAGCTCGAGCCGCATTCCTCTTATGTTTGTTCGGTCGTGGGACGATGCCGAAGCTTTCAAATAATCGAGGTTTCTCTCTCTCTCTCTCTATCTCCCTCTCCATATCTCTCTCTCTCTTTCTATCTCCTCTGGTAACTCAGCTCTAGCCGCATTCCCGTTGTATTCGTTCGGTCGTGGGACGATGCCGAAGCTTTGAAATAATCGAAGTTTCTTTCTTGTGTCATCTTCTGCCTCCTGTTCGTGAGGGTAGTCGAGGTTCCTGTGCCCACTCCCATGCAGTGACCGTTGGAGGGGCTACTTATGTCTACCTCCCAAAAAACTACTTAAATTGTCGATAAACCCTTTTGGCTCTCAGTTATACGTCGAGTCCTTGGAGGCTATCAAAGGATAGAACCTGTGTAACATGTTTGCAATACATTGACATTTTAAGGGTTTTATTAAACTTTATAAACTAGAAGGAGTGTTTTTGATAAAAGAGTTCACAAGTCACGGTAGTAAGGAGGATTTATTGAAGAAGAAACCGCCGATTTATTCGAGCGGGTCTGCTGGGTGTGGACCCCACCGGCCTGACCGTCCAACAAGTTCCCACGTAGCTCGCTCCTCCAACGCCAGCCATTTCGCGGACGAACCCCATCTGAGGGCGGAGTGCTATCCCCGCAAATCCCCACACCACCTTCTCCTCAGCGGTGCTTCGCCAAACGGAGGGCCAGGTCGAGGCCCCGGTGAGGAAGGATTGCCCCTCTTCCCCGTGCTGCTCTCTCTCCATCTACTCCTGCAATGGCAGCGGCGCACGGCACGATGGCTCCCGCCTTGGCGACACGGAGGCCCTTCGGAAGTGAGTGCGCTACGCGATCATGTGCGACTGTTTTGCTTGCTCTTGTTCAAATTCTTGTTAGATGTGTCCATGTGCTACAGGTTTTTGGTTTATATCGGAAATTTACGTTCCGCTATGCGAATGGAAACATGGTCCTCAACGCGGGGAGGGGTTGAGGGGCAGGAATGACGCGGTTGGGGATCCAGCGCCCCCTCTACCATGTTCTCCTCTTGAAGGAGAGCATTTATTTTCTTTTTTCGATGGCATTTGGTGAATAGACACGGAAATGAAGTAGCTTGCTCTCGTAACCGAGTAATTTGTATTTTAATCTGCCGAGTATGGGGAATGTCCTGACTTATTGCAAAGATTCCGAGAGGACCACACGTAGCCACGCTCATTGAATTTTTTATTTTGTTTTTGGAGCTAACGCATTGTTTCTCGAATCCACAAACCTTGAGGTTCATCTAAGCATTTTTTCCGGTATCTCAGTAAATCTTAAAAATTCTCTCTCTCTCTAAATAATCATGTTTTTATGATATTTAGTTCATTTACGAGTAAAGCCACCTAATGGCTAATGGATGCTCACGATGCTTAGAGAGGAGAGAATTTATTGGTTCCCCTGAAACTATTTGTTGTCATCGAGGGGCCTGAGGTACTACTAAGTATCGCAAATGCTGATCTTTTCTGTTGGATTTGAGGGAAAATAAATTTTATGTATCGTATCACATTGCATACTTTAAATTTTGTGAAGGAAAAGTCATAAGATGACGCTTTCAAATAAATAAATAAGTCATTCGAAGGGATCATTGTTAACAACGTATAATAGAACTCAATTCATGTGGTAGAGTAATACTTTTTAAACCGCACATTGATGATGCCAACGTTTTTAAGAAATGTGGGTCACATATGTTGAAACTTATTTTTTATGGGTTTTGAAAACCATTGGCATGTTTGAAATGGCAACAGTAATACGTTTTGCCAATATGTTGAAGACTCACCCTTGCTAATTGTAATTTTCAGTTGAACATCACTGCCTATCACATATAGATTTTGAATTTAATGGTTGCATTCTTTAAATAGTTTCTTGCCAAATAATTTTCAACTAGGCGTGCATGTTTTCAAAACTTTCAGTAATTTTTCCAAATCTTCTGTTGATTAGTTTGCTCAGTAATTAGTTTCCTTTGTATTTCATGTACATCATTTTTTACGATGTAGTGTTCAAAATTTATGGATTTATGTTGTTTTATACTTCTTGGCATTGCTCGCTTATTTAGCATCATTTTCATTCAATTTTCTCTTCTGAGAATATTTACTTGGTTCATAAATATTAGTATATTTCATTAGAAATATATGAGACTGCTTTTGACTAGGTCTATTGGTAGAATCGTTTTTTGTTATTTTGGCCAACATCTATTATTTGGCTAACTTTATCAGCCTTTTCGGTGACTGATTTCAGAATCAAAAAAGAATTTTGGGAGATTTTATGCTGGCCAAACGTTCAAGTGTGGGAGACCTTTCAGGATTTTTGCTAGAGTGGAATCAAGTTCAAACAAAGATAGTGTGGAAATTTCTCAGGAATCAGATAGAACAATGGGATCGCTGTTCACATGGCCAGACAAACAGGTGGAGACATTTTTTTTGTGAATTTTTCAAGGATATACTCATAGATTCGCAGTACAAAACTGTTGTTCTACGTATCCGTTAGACTTCCTTGGAGCCTGTAAATTTCAAAATCTTTTCTCCTGTCTACGTGTGGACATGCATTGAATCATTTGGAATTATCATATCTTGTTTTAGTTTTGGTGGAAAATCCAGCGTATGTGTTGTGAATGAGCATGGTTCATCTTTGGTAGATATTTTTATGTTATCCTTGAGCATTTTCTTGAAGTTAACTGTAATGCTTTGCAATTACAATACCATATCTTGTTTTAATGTTGGTGGAAAATCGAGCCTATAAGTTGTGCGTGAGCATGGTTCATCTTTGGTAGATATTTTTATGTTATCCTTGAGCAGAAGGTGTTCTTGTCTCCTTCAGATGAGTTAGATTGCTTAAGATAGACTGACAAAGTAGGTTTCAAAGGGAGATTTCCGTCAATGACGTTGGGATTGATGTACTTTACCTTTGCTTTTTGTACCTTCTTTCTGTGTATTATTCTCTGTCCGAACTGCTAGATATTGCTCACACTGGATATCTTTTTCTGCTTGTTACTCATTCTCAAGGCTGTTTTGCAGAAGCCCCGAGTATGCATATTAGGAGGCGGATTTGGAGGTTTGTACACTGCTCTAAGATTGGAATCCCTTTTGTGGGCGGATAACAAAAAGCCCCAGGTAAAGTCATTATTTGATATATAAGTTCAAAAAATTGTAGAATCCCATTTCAGTTGTTTTCTTTTCATGCTAGTTTTTTAGGAGTCTTTTTCGTTTTTTTTTCTGTGTGCGTGTTGAGATTAGGGTTGCTAGCCCCTAAACCGATCTGTGTGCTTGCCTAATCTGTCTTGGGTGTCAGGTGCCTTCTTCTGGCCACTTGGATCGCTAAAGAGAACAGTAGGGCCTTATAATTGCATCAGATCAAAACGCTAACATAACAGCCACCGAGAGCATTGTGAATTAATGTAATAGTAATTCACGTTATGCCATCAAGTATGTGTTAACCCTACTAACTGTTTGTTGTGAACGTGATCGAATATTTTGAACCGTTCAAATCATGCAAGCGGCTGAATACAGACACCAATAATTGATGTTCATGTTTAGAAATGCAAACTTACAATCATGCAAAAGGCGAAGTGCCCATCATCTTGAATGGAACACATAACGGTCTCTGTTTATATATCGGTGTCCCACTAGCACCAAATATGCCGTACATCCCTGTTTGACTAGGAAGAACATCTCATCTCCATACTTTCAGAGGTGTTGGAGCAATAGGGAAAGCACCCTGTAGGAAGAAGAATTGGGAAAAATATATGGCCCATTGAAGAAATATGGCCTTCTCGCACACAAAAAAGCTGGAGACTTAAAGAGTGTCTCCATGGTCTGCCACTGGAGACAAGGACATGAAAATCGAGTATCTATCGTCTTTTTCTAATTGATGAAATCATGATTCAGATTCGATCAAGCTTGTGTGATCTGATCATCAGCTGACCCCCAGAATCCACGTGTAAGAATATAGTCACAGGCAGTCACTGTCCCATCATAAGAAAGAAATTAGTATGTGATGGAGATTGCTACATGTTTGGTACTTCTGCCCTTCAAAATCAGGGGCGCCATTCGACTCCTTGAAGTTGTCTCTTTTTTTTATTAGAAGTTTCTGTTCCACTATATTGAAAGTTTGACAGAGTAGCTTGCAATTGGCCGAAGAGTTTTTTTTGGTTGACTCTTCCTTTAAGGCCCAATTTACTACTGGTTTTAGCCCTTAAGAGTCTTGGTTTCCATGCCTTTTTTCTTCCTACTCAGCTGGGCCCCTCCCTTTCCATCTAATTTGGGAGAATCTGGGCACTCGTTGCAGAAACTTTTGTTTGGATTATGATCATCTTCTGACCTATTCCTTTTCTCGTTCTTGGTTCTTTTGGTCCACCAATTCTCCAGCGCCTTGGTTTACCCTGTCTTTTTTCCGTAAATCAGTTACATACTATGGAACAAGTGCTGTTTTGGTTAATTGGGAGAGTAGGGCATCAGGCCTATCGCTATCCATTGATTACTGATAAGATTTAAGTGAGGAATCCATTATTTCTTTCCCCTGCATTCTCCAGAATCTTGGGTGAGTCCTTAATGATTTACTGTTCCTTGTTGTATGGGCACATGATAAATGATGACGAAATTGGTATGTAATGAGAGACTAGTTTTTGGAGGATGAGCTTTATTTAGCAATGCAAGACCTTTACCGCAGTTTGGAAGGTTTATTGCAGGAGGAAATGAGCTTACTCTTAAGTTTCGGTCAGATCAGCCAAGAAAACGACCAAGATGGTTACCTTTCCTATATATATGATGAAGAATAGTATTATGCTCATAATACCATTTGAGATTATGCTCATAGTAGTATTACCGCAGTAGCATTATGCTCATATATTTGAGATGTAAATTGTGTAGATCCCATTGAATCCATGGTAGAACAGTAATTTTCAAACGATAAGAAGCCCATTCAACGAATCCCGAATTTCATTTTTTTTAAAGGTGTGGGTTTAATATCCAAGCATGCCTTTTTCTTTTTGATGTGAATGGTCTGCTTGAATTTATCATCTGAAAGATGTTGATAAATATAATTGGTACATGGCTTAATGACAAACGTTTTCATTCCACCCTGATGAAGTGCTTATCCTTTTTATGGTTGTGATCTTGTCGAGAAATTTTCTTTTTGTTACGTTTTATGTTTCTGTTTCTGACCTTTACTCTATGTTTGTGACTTGAAAACCCCTTTCATGTATTCTTTTCAATTGGGTTCCATTTTGGATGTTGCTTTTGTACATCAGATTTATGCTTAACTCTTCTCCTGTTTCTAATCGTGTTTTCCTTCACTGACTGAGGTTTTTCTTCGCTTTCTAATCATGTGTCTTTCATGTACTCTTTTCAATTGGGTTCCATTTTGGATTATACTTTTCTACACATCAGATTTATGCTTAACTCTTCTCCTCCTGTTTCTAATCGTGTTTTCCTTCACTGACTGAGGTTTTTATTCGCTTTCTAATCATGTCTTTTAATGTTCCAATTCTGAAAATGTGGCAGGTGGTTCTTATTGATAAGTCAGAGAATTTTGTTTTCAAACCATTGCTGTATGAGCTCCTCTCTGGAGGTATTATTGATTCCTTACCAATAAGACTTCAGAAATGTGATGAGCAAATGTCTTTTGTGGAATTGGTGGTTGTTAAAATGAGCTTCCGTGATTTTTGGCATCTCTGTTAATATTGCTTTTCTGTCTCTGAATCGCAGAGGTAGAACCCTGGGAAATAGCACCTTCATTCAAAGACTTACTTGGCAAAACTGATGTCCAATTTATCAAGGACAAGGTCAAGCTTATACAGCCTTCTGACAATTTCCGTCCAAATGAATCTAGAAATGTATCGTCTGGAGGGAATGTACAGCTTGAAAGCGGTGTTACTATTGAATATGACTGGTATTTTGTTTCCTGTTATATTTTATGATGCCATGGATTGACTTTATTTTGTGATATTTTTCTGTTCTTATTTGCGTCTCTCTGTCAGCAGTTCAGTCCAATTTATTTATTGGTTTTCTGTCATGTTTTACTGGAATCATGTCACAACAAACAACTGCACAATTTACATTATGTTTCAAAAAATTCTAGGGACCTTATTTTTTTATTAAATTTAGTGTCGCAAACATTAGTGTGCTTTGTGTCAAGCGTGTTTTTTTTTTCAAATTTTCATGTCTAATATTAGAATTTACTTAACTGGACAGCCAGGCTGGTTCTGGCTCTTGGAGCTGAAGCTAAACTCGATCTCGTGCCTGGAGCTGCTGAATATGCATTGCCTTTCTCGACATTGGATGATGCACTTGTAAGTTTTACTAAACATTGTATGTGCACTACATTCTCATGGCTTCCCTCTTTTACTTTTCGTACACGATTAGTGTTAAATGCTTTTCAGAGATACAACTTTTGTGAAATGGTTGTAAAAAATTGATGTTAAAATAATATTGCTTTATTGCTCGCCAATTTTCTTTAGAACTGTTAGTCAAAATTTGTGTCATCATTCTTGCTTAAATTCAAAAGTATTCCAGTGATCACCCTTACACCTTTTGTACTTGGAGGTAGTTGTTCCCGCTTGATGACAAATGTAAAAATACCTTCTCAAGACATGATAGCACATTCACGATACCTCCCTGCGTCCCCCCTGTTTCAGCAAGCCTGCCACATGTCCAGGGTGGTATTTTTAGTTTTGTTGAAAAACCATTGCACAAAATGTTTTATCACAGGCGTGTATGATTAATCATCTAAGATATTTGTCTTGCTCTGATACCTATACTCTTGCTTCTGTGGTTCTTGCAGCAAGAAGGGTACCCTCATATGTTTTCACTTTTCTGTTGCAGAAAGTTGAGCTTTCATTGAAGATGCTGGAACGGGCACAGTTTAGAAAAAAATCTTTACCAATACAGGTGGCAATTGTTGGCTGTGGTTACTCTGGAGTTGAGTTAGCTGCCACCATATCTGAGAGACTACAGGACCGGGGAATAGTTTACGGGATCAATGTTGACACTAACATATGCCCAACTGCTCCACCTGGAAATCGAGAAGCTGCACTTAAAGTGAGAACATCTTGTTGATATCATTCCATTACTGTACTGTCCCATTAATCTGTTCTTAGATAATACTGATTCTCATCCTTCATGTTTGTTCACTCCTTTATTGTATATGCATCTCAATGTTGACGAACATTCTTTTTCAAATTTTAATGGTAGAATAAATTCTATCATTCTCTCCTTTTGTTTTGTTTCGTGTAAAGTTGCCTTTTCTTTCATTGTTTCATTTGTATTGATGATATTGTACTGTGGAATAAGTGATCAGATGATGTGGCGGATTTGTAAGACGGTGCTTCATCATTTGGCCTCCTTATAAGCTACAGTGGGAAGGCCTTTGTATATGAGTTTCTCATGAAGTGAAAGAAGATGTGTGCAGATCAAACCAGAGAGCAGACAGCTGGTTCTGTGAACTGCTTAAATAGAATGGTGAAGGATTGTTTTCTGGGATCCCTGTGGATGACTTATGTCTTTGAGATCCTTGATACTTGCCTTGTTACATGCAGATGTTTATGCCATTGAGGTGTGAAACCTCATTTCCATGAAGGGTGATCGTTTATCATCTTGTTTTTTGATTGAATGTCACATGTGAATGGTTGAGGAAGATATGGTGCTGGATGACATTGAGTAGATGAGATAGATGAAGAGCTTTTCTGTGTAGAGTATAAATAACGCCACCTAAACGGATCTGGGCCCAAACAATAGTGGGACAGGGCAAAATGATGATGACAACTGAGTGTTTGGACCTAGTATTGGATTCAGAACAGAAAGCACCACGTGCACTCGAATAGTCAATACTATATAATTGTGTAATGACTGGCTCCGCCTACCCAAGCCCATCAGCATTGGGACCAAGATACGATTGGGTAAATTGGCATCACGATATAATTGTGTCCAAATCCATTTTGATGCAGATCCAAGTTTACAGGTCCAAGTCAAATGTAGGGGATTTGAGTTTGTTTGCTCACTTGAGCATTACAAACATAAGTGCATTTATGTCTTTAAAAAGTTGGTAGATGCTTGCTTATGTTTGGTTCGTGGGTTCCATTTTTTACTAATATATTTTGTGATCATCAGCTTAGGCTTGGTTAGCGTCAAAAGGGATGTGTCATCATCTTAGGTTGATTTCATAAATGTTTCCAGGGTATTGCCAAGATATAATTAGGTTACAATATGACAACTGCCAAAATTCCTTTGAGAATGAGCATTAAATGAACTGACCTTTAGTTTTTCCCTCATCCCTGGAAAGGCTATTTTGCTAAACACCTTGTGAATTATGTCTGTAAAAGTATCTGGCTGATCAAAGATAAGTACCCCATGTGAAATCGACCACACCAAGACCTGTAGCTTCAAAGAAGAAGGACATTTCAAATCCAAAGTATAGCAACTCGAGTGCCCTGGGTTATCATACTTTATTGTACTTTACTGAATGGTCTAAGAATCTAACTAGTTGTAAAAAAAAATTTGGAGTCCTCTTCAAGTAACGTAAACTCATGAACACTCCCCTTCATGTTGTGCTTTTTGTCTAGTCGTCCCGGAGATCAGTGCATTTAGGAGAGGAAAGTCGTAGGTTACCAATCTTACATTAGAAACTTGACAGAATACACTGAGGTCGACTTTAAATATGGTTATGCTATGGATAGTTCTGAGTTCTCTGTTCAATACATTTATAATTCACTCACTCTTCTTAATTACAAAAAGTTCAATTTCTACCATCAACTTTGCCATTATACCTTTGGAGAAAGCACATGAATTTAAGAACTCAGAACTATCCATAGCATTATAAATGTATGAATTTATAATGCTATCGATAGTAGTTTGAATGTATGAATTTATCACGTGTAACATTGGTTCGTTTACCTAAGTTAGTGAGTTGATCTCTCGTGTTAGGAAAGCAGTTGACAATGGTGTCTTTCTTACCATTTATGTATGAAATAGACTAAAATATCTCTAGAGTATGAATCTGATATAACTGTATGCTACAAACTTGCCCAGCCATTATTTTCCTGTTTCTTCTATCATTACATGCCCTTTTGATTTGCTGAAGCTTCCCTTTATTACTAAATTCCTGTTTCATACTTCAAGTTAGATATCCTTGTTTTATATTTCCAGGTTCTCTCTGCACGGAATATCCAACTTTTGCTGGGTTATTATGTCAACTGCATAAAAGAATCATCTGGCACTGATGATTCAGATAAGACAATAATAGGATCTACTGATGAAACGTTCACAGACACTAGGAATAGTCACTGGAAATTTGTTTTGGTTCTTCAACCGGCTCAAAGAGGCCTTGAAAGTAAGACTATAGAGGCAGATCTAATCTTATGGACAGTTGGGTCTAAGTCACTTCTGCCTCAGCTTGAGTCATTCAACCTTGGAAATCGCCTCCCGTTGAATTCAAGGGGACAAGCAGAAGTTGATGATACTCTTCAAGTAAAAGGACATCCACGTATATTCGCTGTTGGTGATTCAGCAGCTTTAAGGGACAGTTCTAGTCAGCTGCTTCCTGCCACTGCACAGGCATAGTGACTGCATATTCTTTCTCTGTATTAAAAACAAAAAGAACGACATGAGGATTTTAAACGGATCACATGTGGTTCTGTATGTTTTTGCAATCACAATGACATCATTTATGGATTCACAGGTTGCTTTTCAGCAGGCAGATTTTGCTGGTTGGAATATTTGGGCGTCTATCAATGATCGACCTCTATTACCCTTCAGGTTTGTTTCTCTTGCATGCTTTGAAGATCACATGCATTTGTATAGTTATGTTGGTTGCCTATAACTCATCTCTTTTTGGATGTAAAATTGTCTGTGTTCATCTAGTTTGTTTTCTCACGTTTGTTCATGTTATTTTCTAGTGGTGTTAGTAATTGTTTCTTAGGATTTCATTTCATTTCATTGGATTGACCGTCAGAATCATATTCCACGTACACTATGATAATTGTAGCTTGAACATACATAAATATTGCCGGTCTGAAATGCCGGACAGTAATCATCATTTGAGCCATGAAGGGGCTTGCTCAGCCTCTCAATCTTTTCCGTCAGTATGCATTTTGTTCAATGCCTATTTTTCACTTCAACCTCCACTATTTTTGGAATGCAATTGTTCCTCTGTGTCATGTGTGTATGCTGTTATTCTGTGGGAAGAAGACCTTTTGATATGGTTGGTGTATGGCATCCAGGATTAGTACTGCAACACATTAACTGATATGGAGGTTAATTAAGAAGTTGATCAAACCATTGTTCTTTGTGCTTTACTTACCATCACATATTAAAATGTCACCATGTTTTCTTGACATTTTTCAACTCTACCTTCATTTTTTCGCTGTCTCAGCATTTCAAGTATTTGTCTATTCACGAGCAATGGATAATCTGCATACCTGAGCTTCTTATCCTATTTTAGTGTGTTTTTTTAAGAATTCGTGACATGAAAGATGGTGTCTACAAGATGCCACCTCTCATTAGTTTTTGTTATTTCTGCCCTCGTTGGTTTGCTGTGCTTGCATTAAATGAAGGCTCACCTCCTTTTAAACTAGTATTCACATCAAAATGAAGTCTTCAAACTCTGATTAGGTGCCTCCCTCAATCGAACTGGGCCTTGGAATGCTTACCTACCAGCCACTGATTATTCAGTTCCTCTGAAATGTTTGCTGTTGAATCTTTTCTTAATCAATCCTCTGTGTGTCTATTCTGCTGACTTGGTATTGGCTGCTGGTGTAAGGTGGTATCTTCTGGTTAACTTCTATCTTGCAACCCTCGTTAGGACCTCGGGACTTCTCTTAAACATGAGTTTCATATGAAAGCTTCTCAGTATTTTTGTCTGGTGTCTTCGATTGACCTTTTAAAAAATTTCAATATTTTTATTATTAGATTTGTCGATTGTAAATCTTTTGATTTTTCACATTTTTTCAGGCAATAATACTAAAGAATGACGATTATATCTAAATCTGTGTTCCATATTGACTTACTTGAGTCTATGTATTTTCCTTGTAATTTTCAAATTTTCTTGTTTTTCTTAAAGGCTCCATCAAAACACTTTTTTTTTTTTGGTTTGAAAATGAATAATCGTGCCTCGAATTCGTTTCAAGCAATTTTGATCGCATAAAACATGATGAATTCAATATACACTAAAAGGTACACTAAAAATTGAACTACAATCACTATGAATGGAAAGCTAGTCTTGGTCGTTTGAGTTGACCTTTGATGGCCAACCATAGTGTAATCTCTCTACCTCTGGATAGTCAAATAGATTGTTGTGGGAGATTATTAAAGTATTGGATTTATTTCATTAATTTTTATCTGTCTAAGCTTATTTAAGACACTGTCCTTTATCTGATCCTTAGGTTCCAGAATCTGGGGGAGATGATGACTCTTGGCACAGACGCTGCTGCAGTGACACCGAGCTTCATCGAGGGTCTGACTTTGGATGGACCTGTCGGTCATGCTGGTGGGTAGTTGCACTTGTTGACTCATTGACTCCCACGGGCTTTCGTTACCGTAACACGTTTCCTTCCACTGCAGCGAGGAAGATTGCCTACTTGATAAGATTACCCACTGATGAACATCGCGTGAAGGTCGGAATCAGCTGGCTCACAAAGTCTGCTGTTGACTCTATTGCATCACTACAGAGCAGCATATCCAAGACTCTTTTCAGCTCGTAGATGTGCCATAAAAATGCTGTATAGAACAACGCATTAGCCTCTTTCTGGCATAAAAATGGCGGACCATCTGTCTTTTGGGTGAAGAACAGTTGTCAGACAGAAAGGTTGGGTGAAGAGTAGCATATCCATGATTTGACAAGGGTGAGCTTGAGTTGGTTTGGTCCTGCGGCTCCCTTTCTCGGACATATAACCCACCCTTGTGCTGATTAGTTCACTGATTAATATTGAATGTCCGAGAAAGAGTTTGCCGTTTCTGGGTTTAACTCGAGCAGAAGCCATCCCTCCGGTGTGCTATTTCAGGAAATGGAGGGCAATCTAAGAGCCCGGAGTATCCGAGGTTTGGCTATGGGACATACGCAGCAGCATATAAGTGTCTCGCTGCAGGCAGTACCAGGGACCTCGAACAAGCTGGTCAAAAACCAGCGACCAGATCGACGAGGTGTTCATCCCGCCTGTAGCAGAGAATTTGATTAAACATGTCTTTACCACAAGAACTTCCTTCTGCTGCTCTATGCCCATTGAACCAAATCTCGAAACTTTGCTCCTTGGCTTTCCATAGCCTGCCCCAGAGCCAGGCCCCCGCTCTCTCTTTTCTTTCTCTCTCTGCAAGAGGCAGTGCTCCCTCTCTGGCCTTTCTCTTTCGGTCCGCTCTCCCTAGAGCCAAACCTCTCCCCTAGATGATATCACGCATGCTTTCGATTAATGGCGGATGGAAATCCGTTCGTCCTGTTGCACATGTTTTCAGCGCCATGTATAGGGAAATCTAACATAATGGAAGGTCCAGAAGCCATTGACTTTGAGCGAAAGGTTTGCAGCTACACGTTCAGACACTAACTCCAGCCCCTAAAATGAGTCTTCGAACCGGGAAGCCATGTGCTTAGCTATAAGTGACTCAATGTGGTCCCTTTTGGCGTTGCTCAAGACTGATGAAAGAAGGAACTAAAGTTTGACTCGGTCCCTCGACTGACCCATACGCATTTATTTATAGAAGCACGAGTCCCACCACACGGTAAAAGAAACATGAATGAGCCTCAGCGGGCCAATAAAAAAGATGGAGGTAGTCTGGAGGGTGGAGGCTTACAGAGGCAAGTCTTGTGGACCGAATGGGAAGTCACGAATATGTGACTGACTGCCGTGGATGAATGATGGGGTGGGTTTCATTGTACTGGGGAGGCTATGGTTTTTCGACTCAGAAGGAGAGATGAATGTGTGAAATATCTGAGAAAAATCCACCCGCTCGAAATCCATCTGTTTTCTTCTTCTGCCAAGTTTTCAGTCGATTCTTTGGTTCTTCTACGTGAGAACGGCGCCCAATATATTCATAGTTGAGGCTGATTGAAGCCCAAAATTCCATTCAATCTTGGAACATAGAGAAGACAAAACCAGAACCTCTCTCTCTCTCTCTCTCTCTCTGTCTGTCTCCCTCTCTCTCCTCTCCAGAAAAAAGTGAATATTCATACGTTGCAGAATGAATATTTCTTACCGTCTGGAACAGATACGGCACAAACCATCAGGGAGATGCATGACCGAGAACGTAAGATCTCTGATGAGACGATAGCGATGGGCAGAGTGAGTCTAATAAGAAAGTCGCGCGGGAGGCTGGAGTTGACAGAATTGGAGGCAGGTGGAAGATGAGGTGTGCGTCTATGCGGCGAAAGCGACAGGATGTGATGGAAAGGTTAGGTCGACCGCTACCCAGCTCTTCTCTGGATGCACAGTCGTGAAGGGCAGCGAAGAGATGCAATTAACTCTTCTCAATGCTGGAAAAATGGGTACAGGTAAGTGATGTTTCCCTTCAGGAAGCTGGTAGTTGGCTTCATAACTCTTGACAGTAAGTGATGTCCCTTCCATTGGCCTCTAGAGTCTGGTGGATGGGTTGGTAATACATTTTTTTGATATATTAATCATGAATTTATGTATAATAGATACTGTAAGAAAATTGATACCCTTTTGACTATTTAGGTCAGTACTGGTCCACGACCATTTATAATGACGTAGGAGGTCAATGATACGTTGAACAAAGTTTCCTTATGACCCGCCCATTCGTATGAAAACCCGGTTCCAAATTCTATGGGATTATAAACCAATATTTTTAAGTATATTCAAGAAAGCAAGAATGTGACATTCCATGTGCACCTACTCTGTGCTTCTAGGTTTATACTGAATTAACAAGGTTCACTGGACAGGTCCGAACCAGGTTTTTTGAACCGGCTGCCGCTCAAACAATTTTACAGGCCTTCATCTCGTTCAAACTCAGTGTAAAGCTAGTCTCCTGACCGCATCTCCGAAGTAGATATATTTCTTAGTGGGCCTTCCAGGAGAGAGGATGAGCAAGCTGCATCATGGACGGTGAAATAGGCTTCCTGGTGACTAGGAATGAAGCCTGGGAGGCCCATACATCATGTCTACCCCTGGCCTGAGGAAGCCTCTAGACAGCTGGCCCAAGCTGGGGTCAACGTGTCTCGTCTCCCATGAGTCTGAACCAGTCGTAGCTGTTGCATTAAAGAGCTGAGATTATATATTTGTCTAAGTGTGCAACTTTCTTTTGTTTATTGCATGTTTCGAAGCATCATTTTGTACATTTTACCGGAGGTTTAATTTATCAGGTATTATTTACACCATCCCTGACCGTATTGAACACATGAAATATTACTTACAATGCAGCCTGTATTTTAAAAGCGTTCCAAACTTGTCACTGACAATCATTAATCCATTTCCTTTACGTAGGATTCATGCCAAATCGTAGTAATATATGCCTTCTACGTTGGACGGCTTCACGATATGTCGAATATTGTGGAACATCGGGAGACCTAAACCCGTTCCTTCCGTCCCCCTTCATCCTTCTGAAGATAAAAACTAAATGGGAGCTTAAGTCATCCGTATGATCACAGGTTCAATCAATCAGGAAAAGTGAGACTTGTCAACTTTACAACTCAAGGATTCCACAAGAAAGACGGTGGTAATCTTGGCATAATAAGAGAGAAACAAGGTTGATAGGACTAGCAGAAGATAATAATGATGGAATGCGACCGATGAATGGGAGCATGTGACAATGGAAGTGGCGCAGAACTGACGGGAAATTAAGTGAATGAAGTGCCCAGCTAGCCATCATCAACGAAGTCAACGTGGAAGGCGGGTGGGACACAAGCTTAGCCGACCGCTGTGGGATTTCTTCCCTCTGTTGTCAATGCCATCAAAGGCTCTGTTTGCGATAGCTCTATTTTATGGTTATCTAGATGGCTATTGCGCTTATCTCAAAGGAGAACACTGTGTAGCTGGCTTCATTACTTCGGACGCCGGACTCATTTATATCTGCTTAACCGTTTCTTCCCCCATGCAGTCTCTCCCTCACGTAGTTAAGCCTATATGTAGTCCGCACCATTTCAACTAAACCTCATCAACCTCGAAGCCTAGAAGTTGTCTGTTTCCATAGTGGAGATGGCTGGGAATTCAATCTTCTATTTTGTCCTTGTCTCCCTCGTTTGGACCTCTGGTGCAAGGGAGCTAAAGGACGCCACGGCCGTTAAGGACCAGAAGTGGTTCGGCCATCATCTGGGAGGGCTTATCGGAGGTGGTCTGGGAGGGGGCATTGGAGGGAGCATCGGAGGTGGGTTTGGCGTTGGAGGAGCTGGCGTTGGTGGTGGATTTGAAAAGGGATTCGGGGGAGGTCTTGGTGGAGGCTTTGGACAAGGAGTTGGTTTTGGAGCAACTGGGGGAGGCCTAGGTGGAGGCTTTGGAGGAGCAGTCGGGGGAGGTCTGGGTGGAGGCTTTGGAGGAGCAGCCGGGGGAGGTCTGGGTGGAGGCTTTGGAGGAGCGGCGGGGGGAGGTCTGGGTGGAGGCTTTTCAGGAGGAGGCGTAATAGGCGGTGGCTTTGGCGCTGGTAGTGGCGTCGGAGGCGGTGTTGGCTTCAAGAAAGCTTTCGTCGCTACAACGAAACCTTGAAGAGGAATGCCTCTCTTTCAGCTCAAGCATTGGTTTTGTTCTCAGATCTTGACAGTGGTGTAACCTAAATCTATCTTCCCACTTGTGTACTCAACCGTGTCCTGATGAATGTCTTGTTCAAAATCTGTTTTTGAAGTAAATCTTCTGCTTGGTAATAGTATTTAAATTATTCAACATGTCCTTCACCGTGGATCGTTATAATCTTCTGTATTTACGAGAATACAAAGGCGGTGCCGAGATCGGTGACTATGACTAAAGGTGGCGATAAGTGCGTGCAAGTTTTTTTCTGTTGTGCAATGGACGATAGTACTCGACCTTTTCAAGCACAGTGAAAGAAAAGAAAAGACGTCAAAATTGTAGCGGGGTACGAGAGATATCTGTTCAAAACAAAACGGGTCCATTCTGATAATCGATTAGTTAAGATTGGATAGTTGCGGGGCTGCCTAACAAAAACGACGAGAATCTGGCGCGAAGAAGATAATGTAAACCTTCTAGAAGAGTGAGCAAAAACGACAAGAATCTGGCGCTAAAAAATAAATTTTTATGACCAAGTCATTTTTAAACAAGGTTCACACATGTTTAAATGATATTTTTCAAGCTTTGAGTCCTATATCTTGCCTAAACTATTGTACATCTTTGTGTGACACTAGATGAATTGTGCACGATTTAAATTGGAAACAACGATGTATGGAAGAACCTGACCTCGTTAACTTTGAATTTCAAATTTAAATTTCAGCTAGAATCTACATCCTCCATGAGTGAGGCTTTGAAGAATATGATACAGCATTCTTATGCTTTTTGGCTTAAAAAGTTCATTTTATTTTTGTCTAGCACTTGAGCCCTAAAGACACCAACTAGTTGGCACCTTTCATGCAACCAAAAAAACCTCCTTGTTGGCATCCAGGTGGTGGCAGAATGTCAAAAGAAAGGTTGAATGGAATGTATTCTTTCTAATCCAACCTTAAATCTGCAGATAATGATAATCATTAGAAAAAGTAAACTGTAATTTTATACTGGTCCAATCCTTTTGATCTACATACACTCTCTACTGATTTCATCCTTGGACTTCACCATTTTTTTAGTGTTTTACACATTGATTTTCACATTTTAGCTGCCTTTCCACTAGATTTAACAACTCCAACCAACTCAAGATCCATCGCCTGAATTTTCCTTTGGATTTGTTACACTAGAGAGATAAATCAAAAAATTTCCCTCCTCTCTTCTTAACTTTTAGGTTCTAGAAAAACCTAATTCTCGCAAATTAAATAAGTTGTGTGAAGTTACCCACATGATGAATATTGACACAGCATAAGTTACATGTAGATGAAATAACGACCTTGAATCCACAATAAACAAGATTGCTGTGATGATTCCTCATCTTCAATCCATATCATTTGGAAGCTTCAACCCTTGATTCCACAAGGGGGAAATTCTAAGTCTACAAAATCAATGAGATTCTTCTAAATCCATAGGGGATTCAATGAAATCCACCAATAGAAAGAGGTAATCTCAAAACAGAGAAAACTTTCATGAAATATAATGAATGCCTCTAGGGCTACAACGTGAGGCCTTTAAATAGGCTTGATTTCATTAAAATAAATTCAAAATTAAAATTGAAAAAATCACAAGTGATGCACATAAGGTGCATTTTATTATGAGCCATATTAGTTAAAGGTTCAACAGGAGCAAGCAGTCTAGTCTTCACATATCCTTTGCTTCCAATCCATGAAAATTGAGTTATGAGATTCATCACTTGGGATTCTACTCCACCTAATTTGGTCTGTGGATAGACTGCATCATAGGATTTTAGTCCACAATGTTCGGTCATCAATGACTGCATCAAATATTTCATCTCCAATATATACAAGTTCTTTGTTGATATAGCCAGATGGTAATGATGCTGAATTATGAATCCTCAATTGATGCCTGTTTGATCAAAATGTCACGTTGTCGATTGATGCATGCTTGATCATAATGGTACATTGTCAATTGATGCAAGCTTGATTAAAATGTCACATCATTAGTTGTTGCAAATCTGGTCTAACTAGTTGTAGGCAAAAACTTTGGACATGAATCAATTGATCACTTGTGTTTGTTTTGATGGCACACAGATCAAGAAGAGAGGGTTGGATTGATCTAATCTCATTATTCATTATGATAAGATCTCTTATTAATCTATGGTTTCTCTATATTAATAATTTAAGACTAAATGATGTTATAGTGCTTCAGCATATTGTCTATGCCCACACTTAGAATAAATTTTATTATTAGGTTCCACTATGATTGATCATCTAATGATAACTTACTAATTACCAGGCTTAGCTCCTTCATAATTTTTTTCTAAAATTTCAGTTTAGATTCGTGGCTCTAGGTTATTAACAAATGGTAAAGGGATCAACTCACTTGGGTGATTAAACAAGATTTTAGTTGAGTTTATCCTATGATAAACATAAAAGGTATCATTGCTAGTAGATTTTTGAAAATGATGTAGCCTTTTAGTTTATTTGAGATTATAATTAAGATAATTACAGTTGAAGTTTGATTTCTATTGTCTTCTTCCTGTTAAGAAGCTCATAAATGATGGAAGGTGCTACAGCATGAAACTAATTGTTCAATGTTTGATAAATGAATCTTGAACTCAAATACCTTTTTAGTTTTATGACCTATCAATAGAGACCTCTAGATTTCTCACTCATTTTCTATAGCTTGAGGTAGGTCATAGTTAATATAAGGATGATTTTTTTCTCTATTTTATATTGTCGGAAATCCATTACATTTATAGGTAAATCACATAAAAAAACTTCTCAAATTCTTACAATCTTTTCACATCGATTTTTCTTAGGTTAAATAGAAATTTGAACAGCTGAGAAACCAATAAAATATGTTCATTAAATGATTTAGATATCCTTAAATGAAATTATTATTACATTATTATTACAATTTAATATCTATATTCGAATCATATTGATTTAATTCACTTCAATTATGTGAATTCTGAACAAATAATTTGCCTTATAAAGTTAGGGGTTCAACACTTGAAATTAATCTGAATCACCTAAGATAAGGTATGATCGTTTAAAATAAATCTTAATATATAAATCATAGTTTTGATGATTCAAAATAATAAAAAAAATTAATTTGAAATCCTGAATATTCAAGAATTTAATGTGATAAAATGATTTTTAAAATTTAATCAATTAAATTGATGTTAATTTTATTCAAACATAATGATATGAATATATGGGTGTGTAGTGAACCTAGTGAGCTTCTATATTCATATTTTACTTCATGAAATTTCGTTTACTTGTGCCTCAATCACTTCATTTTCACATTGAATATTTCTTATAAATACTGGCAATTTTTGCAATAGTATCTAAATTGATAATTCATCTTTTAATTGATATGATATTGTCATCATCAAAATATCATATATTCAATGGTCCAAAAATCTAATTTTCCTCTCCTTTTCTCACTTAAAATTCTTTACTAGAAGTTGTGGTGTGTGAATGAGATGATCTTGGTCATTATCTTCTTCTATATCTTACATGGTCAATCAAAATACACCAGCATCTCAGTCATTACTTTACTTTGCTCTCAAGATCAAGGAGTTGCAAGTGTGGATCACTAATCATCTGGATTAAGAATCAGAAGTATATTCGTATCACATAAATTATAAAATTTACCAGTTAAACATAAATTCATCACATGATTCTAACTCAATTTTACTTTGATGTTACCTTAGTTATTATATGAAAATAATGCATTGTCGGTCGCCCACTGTCTCCTTTTCTTCTTCTTTGCAGGATCAAGCTCTTCATCTCTTGAGGCTTAATCAAATGAAGGTGGTGTGAATGGATGGAAAGTGTAATCTTCTCACCTCTTCCTCATGTGGATGTTTTGTTGCTGCAGCACTCATGAAGATGGGAGCATGGTCATCATCAACCTCCTTTCTTTCTTTTTTCTTAGTTCTATAGGAGGCAGGACCATGATGGACTGTCTGTTAGGCTCCTCTCCTTTTATCAACTCTTTCTATTTTCTTTCTCATGACCATCCAACTAAGAATGAGAGGTTAGGGTTCTTAGATTGAGATTCTAAATTTAATATTTTTCTCCTCTTATTGGGCTGATAAATGGGCCATATATGGAACAGATGGACTAGAAACCGTTCTGTATAAGTTTCTATCTAAGGCTGAACAGTGGATAGATCTATATACCCAAATTTTAAAGAGAGATGACCTCGAAAGATTGATTTTAATACACCTTAGATTTAAGTCCTGCTAATCAGATTCATTTCGTATTTTGTTCAGGCCCAAAAATCTTACCCACTTCTCATAATGTTCAACCCAATAACAAATCCATTAAGTTTATAGATCAAAGCCTAATAATAAACTTATTTCTCCTCATTCAACCTCAATTAAATCCAAATAAACTGCAAGAATATTCCACACTATTATTTGGTAAACACCAATCAAATTTAAGCACTCAATTTTCCTTGTCCTATTAGGTTATCCTAAGAATACTTATGATAACATTTATGCATTTTCATACTCATTTAAATATATAAACTATCCTTCATGTGTAATTTGAATAGGTTATACAAGCCAAAAACTAATCACTCTACTCTCATCTTGAAATAACCCTCTGTTGTTGTCTCTCATATGACAATACCACAACCATTATCCCTCATTACTTGCAGCATCCCCAATCCTACAATATTAATAAATATAAAGCGTAGCTCTTGAATCCTAGTCAAATTCACAGGCATTGACTTGGGATTGTAACCTAGAGATATCGAGGGACTAGTTTCCTTGTGGTCATTGAGTTTACAAGACATGGTTTTTTCCTGATATAAATGCACTGGAAACCTGATATCCATGATAATATGATCTCTTTGAAAAATATGGTTTTTTTAGTTATTTTAATTTTTGAGACAACAATCTAAAGAATAGATTATGATTTATCAAATACCTTATTAAAATACTCTTTGATAGCTTGACATCATAGAAAAATGTAAAAATTAAAGATTTCGATCTCATCATAGAAGAATGAAAAAAATAAAATTTTGTTTACTATTTGGAACTATGCGTTTCTTCACCACCATACTATCTGGCCCCAGATGATGAGAAGAATAAAAAATTAGGAATGTAATAAATTTTCAGTTGGTTTTTCCAGTCACATAGATAATCCATTTAAAAATGATTTAGTTTAAATTGATTAATTTTTTTGGAAGCCTCAATTTGATAGTTTCTTATAAAAAAAATATAAGAAACCTTATTTCTTTTCTTTCTCTTCTGTCTATTACTAAAGTTTTTCAACTACTGCATTTTGTCAATGAGTAGCAGAATTTTCAATATTATTTGTCCACTATGACAGCATTATGCTGGTTGATGGCATCTTTAGCAAGACAAGGGCGATAATTTTCCTGAAAAATGAGGACATTAACTTTCCTTTCACACAGTCAGAGTTTTGTTGGATAAGAATGCTAGCACATCATTGAGGATCAAGTTTCCTTCTATGGGAATGGACCATATGAGAACTTCACATGACCAACCGAATTGATTTTCAACAATATGTCCTTATGCTTCCTTATCGGTGTATTTACTCCAAGGAACATTGGTCGCCTCTTGTTTGGTAGGACCATTAAATGAGAGGCGCCTTGCCATGTTCTTTTAGTTAAATTTCGGCATGATTCACACATTATGTATGTAAATGGTTCACGAGGATGGAAGGATTTCAAGCAGTTTGTTGGGAGCTTCCGTGCAGTCAGAAAACGTTCATCTACACGTGTTCTGACAGGTTATCTACCGCTTTTTAGGCTCTCACTCACTTATAAATATTTAACCATGGATAAAAGGTATATAAAAATTCTTAACTGCAATATTACTAATGGCACGGGCTATCAAGTGATAAGTCAACGGGTGAATCAGCATCATTTTTCTTCGGGTCCAGACAAAACTAATGAAGTCAACTACCAGCTCCCAAGTGGGAATATCGCAGAAACAGTCATGAAAGGTCGAAAGAGAGAGTTCGCCGGACACGATAATGTCATACGTCAACTAGCTGTCCTCACTCACACATTGACTCTCTACGCGCTGATAGTTTACAATCTATTTGACCGCATTTACTCTTCCGACCTGTCTATTGCTGTGCGGTCTCTATCACCATTGCCATCCTCTTCGGAGTGCTCTAACGCACCTAATCTTCAATCTTCTATAGAGTTCGCGTACGATATAGCTGACACACTAAAAGTATATTGTTTCTACAGAAAACTAAGGATCTACAGAAAGTTTACGTAGACGAGAGAGAGAGAGTTGGGCATTTTTTGATTTTACTGGTTATTTTTCAAGAAATAACGAATGGCTCGGATCATTTAGTTGTGTTCCTATTCTCCTTGGCTCAGGAATCAATGCAATTTTTTCCTTTTCTGATCATTTTGTTATGTCAGATTTTGGTTAGTTCACGAGGAAGCGTCAGCCAGAGAGAGAAAAACAATGGGTAACTTCCGGACTTGCCTTGCCAAAGACGAATGTGTCTTCGGATTTCTGGTAGTGCGGAGGCTACCAGGAAGCGTCAATGTAATTTCAATGTTAGATTCCGACACGCTCGTTCAATGTAATTTCACGAGGAAGCGTCAGCTCTCAAGGAGCTGACAGCGTCATCCATGTACTGATCTGGACATGGAGACCGCGACCTCAGCGCGTTGCCAGCGGTGTGAACGAGCGTGTCGGTTGACTGTATGAAAACCATGTGAGGGCAAGAAGCTCCCATCAACTGAACAACAAATGGTTTTTATCTAAGATCGAGGTTCCTCAAAAGTTTAGCCACACATTCAAATTATGGAGAAAAAAAAAAATTACTGGGAAACCTATTAACATAACTAGACGAAAAACTAAAATGAATGTATTTTTAACATTACGTGAATTGTTGTTATGAATCTATTGAGGTGTATTTTTAATCAAAAGCATAGAAAAGGTCAACGTGCTCATATGAAAACCTATTAAGGTGCACATCACACCTTAAAAACAGCAGTATTTTAGACTTTTTGAAAGGTATCCTTATTCCTTTTGGTATTCTATTCATCCTTCCATTGGGTACTCGTGACTTCTGAAATTTATGACATAATGTTTTCTCTCATATGAGGTATAAAAACCAATCGTTAGTTGCTTATTTGATCCGTTGCCTCATGTCCTTGACATAAATTAGTATCAAAGTCTCGCTGGATTTGTTCAATCTGATGCGAATTTTCGAAGGAATTCTAATTGTAGACATAAGTTGACTTTGAAGCCGAAGGTTCTTCACGGGTCACATTATCCTTCCTTATTCCAAGTATTCAAATTCGGTGTAAATCAGTTATGTCGCATAAAACACTTTCCTTGGGGACCGCGCTGGATCGGAATACGCTGATCGTTCTAAGGGAAAATTCGTCATCCCATTTAATATGCTTGATGGGCCTTCAAAACGTGGGCTGTCCGCTCACAGAAATGAGTGCTGTTAAAGACCATGTGGAGTTTATACTCTGCTTTTAAGTGACCATTTTCTCTGCGGTCCAGTCAACGTGGTGGCGATCCCGGTGGCCCCTCCCTGTTGACCCGAAGGCCACGGTAGACTCGTCCCCAATCAATGCCTTCACCTTCTACCTCAACTCCCCGTATGTGGAGCAGTACTCGCAACATTAAATCCTCTCTCTCTCTCTCCCTCCCCCCCCTCCCCCCCCCCGCCAAACGCCTATATAAAGGGGGGGTTGTCCGAGGAAGAGAAGGCATAGGCTGAGTGAGTAGTGTTCAGGAGTCGACATGGGTCTCTTGAAGAAATGGCTACCTCCTCTGGCTGTCCTCTGTATGATGCTTCAGCTAAGTGCGGTTGCTCTTGCCGATTTTGGAGATGATTGTGGCTTCCGGGGCTGCTTCCGGGGTCCCTTCGGTCCCAGGCGTGGATGGTTTGGCCGCGGTTGGGGTGGCTGGTTCGGCGGTGGTAGAGGTGGCGGGTTCGGAGGCGGCCCGGGCGGTGGTCCGGGGGGAGGATTCGGCGGTGGTCAGGGGGGCGGATTTGGAGGCGGCCCAGGTGGTGGTCCGGGGGGAGGATTCGGCGGTGGTCAGGGGGGCGGATTTGGAGGCGGCCCGGGTGGTGGTCCGGGAGGAGGATTCGGCAGTGGTCAGGGAGGCGGATTTGGCGGCGGCCCGGGTGGTGGTCCGGGAGGAGGATTCGGCAGTGGTCAGGGAGGCGGATTTGGAGGCGGCCCGGGTGGTGGTCCGGGGGGAGGATTTGGAGGCGGCGCTGGTGGTGGCGGTGGTGCTGGAGGTGGTGCTGGAGGTGGTGAAGGATTTGGAGGTGGCGGGGGTGCTGGAGGTGGCGTTGGAGGCGGCCGTGGTGGAGGGTTTGGCGGTGGTATTGGCGGTGGACGCGGCGGTGGGGGCATCGGAGTTGGCGTAGGAATTGGAGGCGGAGCAGGTGGCGGTGGCGGTGGCCGCGGCGGCGGCGGCGTCGGCCGTGTTGCCGGGAGAGGGAAGTAGACCAGTCTCTCACTCTGGAGGCCTCCCATGTAATCTCACGCGTATACCACCGTACCAAGCGTGGCAAGAAGCAACCTTTGTGGCCTCTGATTATCGTGGTGTAACGCCATACCAGTTTTCTTACGTTTCATGATGTAACAGTAGTTCGTCCCATGCAATAACACTCACCCTTTCTACGTGAAAACTTAAGTTCATTTCCGAGCCTAAGACATGCACTTACACTACTTACGTGAATATTTTAATGTTTTCATGTTATAAATTATTATATTGTATGAAACGAACGCCGATGTCAAACTCTCCGTGAAGGCAACGTATAATCGATGGATTTGATGCGACTAATCGATTGACTTTCCGTCATATTTTTACATCGATAATTATGACTGGTGTACAAGGATTTCTGGTCAACCAGAGGGACCACACGGTTCTTGGTTTGATTAATAATTAATGCACAGACAACTGAAATCAGGTGCTTTGAGTGCGTTAGGTGAGTTTTGCCGTCGATGGGGGGGAAGGTCAGGTTGGTGAGAGATGGCGGGAAGAGGTTCTGTGGCTGAGCATGGAGGGAATGTCGTTGTCGGTAACAAGACTAATATTTCTTCCTGTCTTTACAGTACATTCACACACACACACACATATATATTATAAGATGTAGTCCTGTACCGATTCATAAGTCAACGGCCTGGGCTGGATTTGACAAATGCCCAGAAAAATCAGCTAATTGACGTCCCGAAATAAATATTCGCATAAAAATCTCGCAGTAGCTGACACAAGGGCATTAACTATTACCAAATTAATCTATCGATTACTGTAAACCAGGTAGAACGGCGAGAGCATCCATAATGCAAAATTCAATTGCAGTAGATATCGCTTTGCAGCCAAGCGGCTGGAGTACCTTGTAGCGCCAAAAAGACTGGAAGTAATCATGATAAGAAAAGCTTCCAAGAGCTTCGATTGCAAGTCTGCAATAAATTTTTTTGCATGGGAGTTTACTATCATGTATCTTGCTAAGATTTTATTTTTCTAGTTTCTTCATGTAGAGACTATTGATTATTAGTTTGGTCCGTGGGTCTACTCCTTGTATCATTATATCATGTAATCATAAAGTTAGAGGGGCCTTGACTTTGTAATGGATCTACATTAGATTCAATTGAGAATTTTATGATACAGAAAACCATACTATTTCACCAAGGCTTGGTTTGTGCATGGAAAGATTGTCGTTGAATTTTTTTCAAACTATAACATAAATATTAGTTTATTAGTTTAAAAGATGAGTAGATATAATTTTTTTCATCATATTGATGAGCACAAAATGAAGGTATTAACTTCATGTTATTTCTGAGATTTACGAGGAAACTTTGATCATGCGATCCTTCTGAAAAAAACATTGTGTTTATTTTCGACCAATCTACCATATAATATACTAACATAAATCTAAGTATCTGCTTTTATGGATGGATGGTTTCCTCCATGTTGAAGGGTTATAAGTAATATTTTTAAGGTATAATTAATCTTCTAATTTAGTAGAATTTGTAATCCTTCAATGTAGATGGAAACATGGCATAGATCTTCAGTCCAAGCTTGTACTAATGAGGCCAGTTCAATTTTACTTAGGCTTGTAAAATCCTTCAATTTTACTAAATAACTTTGGTTGAATTACGTTCATATATTTTGGGTGGTTTTGCCTACATATGCATTGGGATGAGAAACATCATCACACTTGAAACATGATCCGTACTCAAATTTTAGACTATTTTTGAGATAATACTGCAAAAGAAGTAAATAAATATGGTTCAAAATAAAAATTCTTGCTATATGGAAATTTGACTGATTTAGACGTTTTAATGAATTTATCATTAAACTGTTTATAAATTTTAGATATCAGTAATTCTTGTGAGAAGCAATCTAAGAGAAAATGAATTGACATATAGATGTTCTTGAAGAGGTTATAAGAACTATACTAGAGTTTATGCGAACAAGTTAATGGGTAAAACTGGGTTGGGCCTAGTGTGTGAGTGTCATACAATTTTGAATTTATCAAAAAAATAATTATATTACTTTATATCTTGACTTGAAGACAAAAGTACGCCCTCTTCGAAAGTTGAATATATTTGATATGTGTATTAACAAATACTCAAGAAAAATAAAATGCATATTCCAACTAAAAGAAGAAAGAGGTGTAATTTCATAAAAATTACAGATTTGTGAATTGTGAACCAATCAAGTGTACCGATGATATCATTTTAATGATGAGTGATTGAGATATTTCCATAAATGTAAAAATGCATGTGTGATTCTAAGTAATTGTAGAGTAAATAAGAGAATGAGAAAAATTGGTGGTGAATAGTGTTTAATACTCTTGATATTTACTCTAATTTATTTCAGGATAAACGGAGGAGAAATAAATTTCATATTAGGCCTTAATAGTATGCAAAATAGGCTTGTTTTTTGGGCCTGAATCAGATCTATCTTCTTCCATTATTGGGCCTGGAATGAAGCTGAAATGGATATGAACATGGGCCTTTAAACTAAGGCTTATTGGATTCTGTTTTTTCGGATCTTGTATCGCTTTAAAATATTGGGCAAACGGATCTCTGTTTTACGGCTTTAGATTCTAAATTTATGCACAAGCGGCCTTGGCCCGTTCACGGATCTCTCTGTTTCTCTCGTGTGCTCTCTCTCTCTCCCACTCTCTTGTGTGCTCCCTCACTCTCTCTCTCGCGCACCCTCTCTCTTGTGTTCTCTCTCTCTGGCGCGCCCTCTCTCTCTCTCTCCCACTCTCTTGCGTGCTCCCTCTCTCTCTCGCGCGCGCACCCTCTCTCTTGTGTTCTCTCTCTCTCTCCCTCCCTCCCTCCCCTCTCTCTCTCTCTCTCTCTCTCTCATGCGAAGAAGGTGAGCATTCGTCCATGGCTGGCGTCCTCAGATGGTACCTGCGGAGAAGAAGAAGCCTATGTTCATTCGTGATTATCTCCTTCATTACAAAAACGTAGAATCCCACGATCGATTTTCACGTCGCTGCCCTCGTACAGATCTCACAAAGGTACCAATTTTTTTATTTTTCTTAATTATTTACTCATATTCTTGCTACCGATGGTGTTAAGGAGACCCTGATGAACCGAAGCGAGAAAGGAGAACGACCTGAACGTCATTCAGTTATTATTTCTCTCATTTTGCCTGCATCAAACCAAAAGGAAGACCCACCTGAGAAGAAGAAGAAGAAGAAGAAGAAGAAGAGAGAGAGGTCAACAAATCAATCACCATCAACTCAATTTCAAGTAAATTCAATCCCGCTCCAAAGTTTTCAATCATACAAGAAGATAATGTTTTTGAAGTTGACTTCATTTTACTCTCATTAGTTTCGAGAAAATTTGTGTTCTTAGATCTTGGTATCCAAGCAGAGATAAATATTCAACTTCTCTCATTTGGCCCACGAGTTGTGAAATTCATTTCGTCACTGCGTTTGAAAGTCAACATATAGACGTTGAGGATTTAGTGGAACCTGGGGATAAAGTCTTTGGAGACTGGATGCAGGTTTGGAGGAGAAAACTACCATAAACCTTTCGTGCAATTGTGTTGATATTTTGCATTCAAAATAGACCAAATAGAATTATTTTAAAAAATATATATATATAATTAATTTCAACCCCCCCCCCCCAAACAATCTTGATTGTGTCACCATGAGTGGCCAACATGTATATATCTATGAAGGAAGAAATGTAATACAAACTGAAATATCATCCATTGATTCATATTAAGTTTAAGCATTTTGTTGATTCTTCATGATAGAGACACTCTCTATTGTGAATTTTAATTTGTTTCTGCAATTTTCTCTATCTTCACAAATAAATATAGGACTTTTTGACCTTTAGTTTAGCAAAATACCTTGTGAAAAGTGTACTTTGTACAACATGAACAATTCATGTTTTGATTTAGAGGCAGCCATATGATAATGCTAGAATATATGTTCTACTTTAATGTCATCTCATGTTTCCAGATATGATTTGGATTGGTCTAGTAGCACAGTATCATCATAGCTTTTACATTTGTGTTATTTTGTCATTTTTCAATAAACCCTATAATTTATAGTTCATAATTCCCTTTATTACTTACCATATTTTATAAAGATGAATGTTATAGCATGTTTTTAACACAAATGTGATTGCTTAATTGTGTCATATATTATCATGAAAAATAATATTTTTTAGATATACAATTCTTCTACCATCTAATAGATACCAAAAATTCTCAAACTTATAGATGATCAAATCTTATATATATTATTTTAAGTTAATAGCATATTTACATAAATTTGAAGGATTTGTATCACATGTCAGTCCTTCCTCGACTGATTGATGGATATATCTTTCTCCTTCACTTTTATGTATTTTTTAATACCTTAATGTTAATGCAACAATGAGTTTTAATCATTAATAAGTCTTCATTATCATGAGTTAATAATTAATAAATAATATAGTTTTGGTCTTAACTCATGTTAAATAGACTTATATTTATGTTAAATTATGAAAATTGATTTTTAATTAATTAGTATAATTTTTTGGCTAATTATATAATTTTATGTAAATTTATATAATTTTTATAATCTTATTTTTTGATAAATAAAGAAAAAGAAAAAGAAAATAAAAGATAGAAAAAGGGGGGACCCACAAGCTAGCTAGGCTCGCAAGTAGATCGGAAGTACAATCGAGGTGAAGCCACGGGTAGAAGCTTGAGTAGCTATAGATCAATAGGGGCACGTGTGCTTCACTCTCCTTCCACGTCATCAATGGCCAGTCGACTATGGGGCAAGAAGTGGTCGTACACATGCGAAAAAGGGACTTATTGATTCCCAAATATTACGTTACCATACATGCATCTCCACATTCAACGTATAATCGATGTGGGACTAAACCGGTGGTCACATATTCCCTAGAATGTTTTCGAAGATTTTAATATCGAAAATATCTCTTATTTATAACAATGTGATATCATAATGACGTCACTATATAAAGGTATTTTAGAATTTATTCTCTATTTCATGTAAGGGGACAAACGGCATGAGTTTGAATCTTATCAAAGCCAAAACTCATATTTTTATCTAATTAAAGTGTGACTTTCTTATAGATCACTAGTAGAGGATTAAGTTGCCAGAATCGTTTGATCATCGGTAAAAATCTCGTCAACGTGATAAAATTATTGAACAATTTATAATGATTTATGATAAAAGGATCACGAATCCATCAAGTAAATAATCTTCTATTAATTGACGAACAAGCCATCATAAAAAAGAAGATAATTCGTCGAGAAACGAGTCACCACCTCTTAAGAGCGTACTAAATGTGATGAAAAGCCTCCTCTTGCTGTGCAGAATTAAAAATGAAGTTCCTTGACATGTGCTCCACCTCCAACTAATTCTTCTTCATTGTGTGACAACTGTCGGAGAGCCACAAAGTTATTATTTTTCTACTCCATCAGGTGATAGTCACTAGAGATGATTCGACAATCAATTTCATTGATTTCTAGACTTCGCAAGAAGATCTAAAGATTACCCATGTCATCCTTATTCAAAGAGAGCCTTTGAGGCCATGGACACTACATGATAATTCTTTCGAACACTCCAAATTTCAGTGCATTGTCGTCGCATCACTGTTGAGATGGTGGAACTTTATTTTTCTTGCTTTCAACTTAATTTCATTTCATTTAATGATAATTTGTGTGATATAAATTTATTATACTATTCTTTATTCAATTACGATTCTTCTAACTTTTACAGTTCTTAATTTGACTAATTAAATTATCTATAATTATTTATGTAAGAATCGTTGAGTAGAACTCTATTTCCTCCGATTCATGTTTGTCGGGTGCTGACGTCATCTTGACGTCTGCACCCTTTATTTCATTTTTTCATAAATTTTAAATATATTTTATTTTTATTTCTTAGTCTAAAATTCATAAAAAATCATATTCTTTGAGAAAAATTCTAAAATATTACTTGATAGTATATTATATCTCTGGAAAATTTCTACTTTTTTTTAGAACTTTTATTAAATTATAATTGATATATTTGTTCAAAAATACTTCTAAATATCCAAAAATTAATATTTTCTAGTTTTATAAATTTTAAATTTGTGTGATTTACTGTACAATGATTAAGTCACGTCAATCATCATTAGTTTTTTTCTTATAATCATGAAGAAGAAAAAACATGTCTAATACTTTATTTAGTAATTATCGAGTAATAAAATCATAATTTTGTAGAAAAATGATTTCATTCAAACTATATTACAATTATTTAGTAATAGTAGCATATTCTATTTAAGAAGGTTGTTTTCAATCATAAAATTTATTCTTGTAACATATAAATCTCTGAAATTATGATATTGATTATAATTATGATTGTCATTTGGGGTTGGAGGAGACAGTGGAGATGGGGGTGAATGTAGGGAAGGAGTTAGATCGAAGAGGATAAAAACAATCCGGTCAGCATATTTGATAAGTCAACGTTGTCTAATGTACGCATGTTGATGGCTCCTCTGGCCATCATGGTTGGTGTATTGAAAATATTTTCACTTATTCATCAATTTCTATAATTTTAAAAATTCAATAATCGCAGTTAAATTAATATTAATTATTTTTTTATCTTTTTGGTTTGCCAACCATTTTTACGTCGTTGCAGTCGGTCAATCTTCCCATTCTACTAATGGGCTGAGGTGCCGGACCTTTACCTTCTGGTCAGCTCACCCCGCGCCCCCGGATCACTTAACCGCTAAGTAAGCCTCATCCTTCACGCGGGTTCCGGCAAGGGAACGCGGCGGCCACGCCGGGAATGCAGTAAGCATACCGCCCAGACATTCGAATGCCATCGCAGGCTACTACGTGTCCTTTCTCCGTTGGCCACGTACCCCTTCGTGGAGTGCATTACCCAGAAACTAAACCGGGGAATCGAGAAAGCGTTCGAGAAGCCTTTTCTTTCGAAACTTCGTATTGGGCTCTGCTTCCTCTCTTCTTCCACGCCCTCGTTTTTTCCATCCGAGGCACCGGCAGTTCGTCGGAATCGGACGCGCCCGATCGAGGAAAGGTCGTGGGTGCCGTCTTTTTGTATATATGATTTGTTTTTGATTGGCGCGGGGTGCCTTGTTTGATGTGAGCTAGATCGACCGAGGGTTGTTGGCTCGTTCCATCCGATCTTTGTCAGTGTTTCCGGTGGACAGGACTGGCAGCCATGTTTAGCAGACTCTTTGGGAAGCCCAAGACAGAGTCCAATGCCCTCGCCACGCTGGACAAGATGAACGAGGTACCAAGTCCGCTTCTGATTCCGAAGGGTGTCCTCTTGATGTTTTCTATTGTGCTGATTCTTCTCCGTTTTGTTGTCTCTCTATCGGTTGTTTATCGGTTGCCATGCTCCTAGTCTAGACCGAAGTTTTATTTGTTCTTGAAGATGGAGATGTTCTTGTTTCTTAATTATTTAAATTTTATTAGAAAATTTAAATTAAATGGAATCCTTCCTGTTGCCTGACGATGGGTGGCAATGAGAAAAAATGGGAACCGATTACCGAACCGTTAAATTGTTGATTAGGGGGTTTACAGCTTTTTCTGCTTCATTAACATCATTCTAGATACTCATTCTACATTCTGGAGGAAAGGGAGGAAACCACACCTTGAGACCTTGTGAGGAAAGCTAAACTGAAATTAGAGGTTTCGCACGAGTTTCATGGTAGAAAACTTATGAAACCTACGTTTCCATTGTGGAAATATTCAGATGAATCACTTGTGGAAAGGCTAGGAAGGGGATTGGGTACCGAGAAGGCCTGGTAAGGCCTGGTTTATCTTTTTAACGTAGAGAAAGAGAAATACTTTAAAAGATTTAAATACAGCCTTGTAGGGGCGTGCTTCTTCTAACGTGGAAGGGCATGAATATTTTCTTTGGGTTTACTGTTATGGCGAGGACTTTTTGGCGTAATGTGTCTGACTTACAAACAGTTGGGAATTATCAGAAGGCATGCATGTGAATTTCTCTGTTTCCTTCTTAGATGATGGAATTAAACTACCTAATATTGAAACAAAGCGAAAAGCACGAAGGTCAAGCCAATCAAACTGACTTAATGGTAGTTCAAAATACATGTACTCTGTGTGAGAGGAATGAATCTATATTAGGCCTAACCTTGTGGATCTCAAGGACAGAAACAATGAAAGGTTTTGCAGGATATGACTGTAGATCTCAAGTCCTCTATCCCACTGTACAATTGCTCCGTTGACAGGAGTTCACATTTTTTGAAAATAAGCTCTCAACGAGTAGCATGTCCTGGGAGATGAATACATGTAGCATGTACATGGCTGTGTCCCTTCTTTCCTGGGAAATTTATTAACTGCTAGGTTAAGTTTAGCTGATGATGAGGAAACTCTGTCGACATTTTGAAGTGTGTCATTATTCTTGTTATCCTTGTGATGTTTTTTAGGTCATAAGCATGTAATATGGTGGGCGGTATGAATCTCTTGTGATGTAGATGGTGTTTAATATCTGCAGAGGCTACAAAACAAGTACCTTCTATGATGACTGCAGACATTTTGAGTTCAAATGCAGAAATCGAGTCATGCTTTTAATGCGTTCCTTCATCCTCCTGTATATAAGTTTGTTAGAACTAGTGGTTTTACAATTTTTTGTGAAAGAATTATCTTTATTTTATAATTTAAAAGAATAATTCTTCTAAAATTCTGTTATCAATCTTTGATGTTCTATTATCCCGTTCTGTCACACTGTCAGTGCTGTCGTTCAAACGTGTGCTTCTAAATGTATATCAATTCTCTGAAAATTATATTCTCTTAGATCCTAAATATCGGTATTCCTTTTGTTCTTTCAAATGAAATATTGAAAGTAATTGGACTTACGTTTTACTGAATGCATTTGCAGACACTTGAATTGTTAGAGAAAAGGGAGAATTTTCTTTTGAAACAGGTTGCTGCCGAAGTTGAAAAGGCAAAGGGGTTTGCGAGTGCAAAGAATAAAAGGGGTATTCTTCAAATCATGTCACTGGATTTATTTATGTAATACCTTTTTGCGTACATTGCGTTTTTATTTGTCTTACCACATATGCTTCATTGTTGGGACCTGAAAAACACTCTTAATACCATGTTTCCATGTAAAATCTGGCACTTTTTGCGTTTGTACTGATTGACTGGGGAAATACTAGGCTGAAATTTATTGCTGTTCTTTACCCTGAAAGTCTAGAAAGACTAGGATTTTTACTCTTGATGTTTTGAAAGGTTTAAATAATAGAATGCTGTCAATCTTTCAGTCAAGTGTTTCGTGCAGGAAATCTGTGAGATCTTTTGATGACAATTTTTTTAAAATTTTTAATGAACTATTGTATGTGTTCTGCTGCATGTAGCATTGACTGTGTGAATCATATACAATGCTTACGCCGCTAATTATACTATCTGATCCTATCTGTGATGATGTACTGTGGGATGTCATGTGACATATGATTGTTTGGACTGAATTAATCATTTAGATTGGACATGTATAGCATTTTTAGCTAGTAAACAAAAATCTTAAATTAAAGTAGTATGGGCTTCGTTCATAGCACTCAAGATGCTGGTTGTCTTCCATCATAGTAAGAAGGGGATCTAGAAACTTGTGGCACCTTTGTGGTTGCAAATATGAACAAACATTGATGTCCGCGAATGCCAATGTTCTTGCACATCTATTACTTTTCACAGATTATATATTATTCAATATTTATTTAATTCATGTCTAATATTTTTGCCACCGTAGATTATTTCTCTTACTTTTTTTTAAGTTTATATTCTTCTAGTGAGCCCTATGTGACTGATTGAATAATAAATGTATACTTTCTCTTGAAGCTATAATATACTTTAGACTTGGCGTCCATTTGTGCCTTGCCATGTCATTTAGGGGGTATTGTAGCAGATTATCACCTTAGTTGCCTTGAAAGCATGCGTTCTATTGACCCACCAATGTGATATTTTTCAACATTGGTTGCTACAAAAAAAAGAAAGGTTGCTGTATGAATACTCATGTTCTCTACATTGGTATATATTTTTGGCAAGATGCATGTCGACAGAATTGGAAACGAAATAACGGATGGAACTGTATGATGTCCCCAGAGAAGACTAATAATGACGCCAATGACTTTGAGGTTTTTAGACTTGTCAATCGTAGAGTAGGGACTTCGGAACTAACTTGAACCCCTTTGGAGCAACTTGGATGACGGAGAGGAAGTAAAAGTGTTCGGGTGATGAGAGATGTTATGCTCAGCAATTGTGACTGAGAAGCTGATTTAACTAGAAGTGATTGCGTTTGTGGAGAATTGCTTCTAAAATTTCAAATAATCTTTTTTACTGCGCGGTGTGCATTCTGCCAATGATATTAGTGGCTGGCATTCCAGACAAAGCCTAACTTCTATCACCACAGAGATGAAGTAGATGCCGAAATCGTTGAAGGATTGGTGGGTAGAGTTTCCTTCTTAAAAGATGATTCCCCATTGATTGCCCTGGTCAGTGGATTTTATTGGCCGCAGCTCAGGGGAATCAGAGGTCAGCGGGGAGAAGGTCGTTTGTTTCTAGTGTTTTAGAGCGGTGAGATGGATGGTGAAATGCATAGTTGCTGTATTATTATGGGCTTTATCTGGAAAGGCTAGTTGAATGTTTCCTTCCAAAAGCTTATTAATAGAACTAGGTACAGAAACGCATCTTGATACCATAATCTTCGGTTTTCTGAACTTCGAGTAGAACTCATGCTTTCTGCCTTGATCATTTTATTTTTTTTTAATTTTTTAAACGACCAGAAGGTCTCCATTTTTCTTCGTGGACTTAGTTTTTTTAACCCCTGAATTCGGTCGTGATCTCAGCTGCAATACAATGCCTCAAGAGGAAAAGGCTATACGAGCAGCAGGTGGAGCAGCTCGGAAATTTCCAGCTACGGATCCACGACCAGGTAAACTAGTCCTTAGCCCCGCTGATGTTGACTTCATGGCTTCCCCTCTGTTGAACAACTGTGGGCCCCAACGCTGTATGGCTTCAGATGATAATGCTCGAGGGTGCGAAAGCTACAACAGAGACCGTCGACGCCTTGAGGACCGGCGCAGCCGCCATGAAAGCCATGCAGAAGGCAACGTGAGTTTCTCTCCACATCATGCGGGAAATTTATGGACCCATTTCCTCTATTTGGTTGCAGTGGAATCAATGATGGTTTTATTAATGTCTTCTGAACTTGCAGGAACATCGACGACGTCGACAAGACCATGGACGAAATCAATGCGCAGACCGAGAACATGAAGATGATTCAGGAAGCATTATCGGCGCCCATCGGCTCAGCGGCAGACTTTGACGAGGTACATACATACATACATGCATACATACATACATACATACATAAATACATACATACATACATACATACATACATACATACATACATACATACATGTTTCTTGGAAACATATATATATATGTATGTATACAGCGGCTGATGACGCGGCCAATCCTCCCTGTCTGCTGCACCAGGATGAACTTGAGGCGGAGCTCGAAGAGCTGGAGGGAGCTGAATTGGAGGACCAGCTTCTGCAGCCTGCTAAGACTGCGCCCGCTGCTCCCGTGCATGTTCCGGTCGCCGCCGGCAGGCAGGCAGCGCGCCCGCAGAGGAACACAGCGGAGGACGACGAGCTCGCCGCCTTACAAGCCGAAATGGCACTCTAGTGACGTAATCATCTTTCCCGCTACGCCGTCTCCAGACGGGTCGTCATACATGGAGAGATGGGGGATGTGTAGCGTGTGGGTGGCCAAGTAGGAGGGGAAAGCTGTGGTATGTAAATGGAGACTGCAGCCGGGGAGGGAAGGGATAGGGAAGAGACCCTCCATCTATTTATATCTCGGGTCTGTCCGTCCCATGACGGGATCTTTGCTTGTGGTTCCCAATTGAGCCATGCTCGTGTAAAGGTGGCTTACAAGTTGGGCTGTGCGCCGTTTTGTGTCCCTTCAATGATGTTTCTCGCACAGAAGTCCACAGAGAGAGAGAGAGAGAGTCTTCTGAGTCCACATGGGTTGACTCCATTGGTCGTATTTTTCAACTGGTTTGTGGAGTCTGGACGGGGTCGGGTGATTCAAATCTGAAGAGGAACCTTGAGAGATATCACATCACTGGCCACTGCTGTCGGCCCCCCGACCGAAGTATGGTAGATTCATTCCGCTGACGTGAAAGGAGGGGTCTGACCCATGTGAACTGCTCTCCGCATGCAGCCACCACGTGAAGATGAGTTTTGTCCGATGACTATTACAAGAAGAACCACCCCTCTCTCTCTCTCTCTCTCTCTCTCTCTCTCTCGCTAACCGTATCTAGGGGTGGGTTGGAGAGGGAACGAGTGAGGAGTGGGGCCGTGCTCCTGATTGACCAATGTTCAAAACATCGGAGTAAGAGAAAGGTCGCGGTCCGGTCCGCCAGTATTATGGGGACAGAGATGCCCAGCCGGGCGGTGGCGCCGTGAAGTTTTTGCCGGCGGTCGAAGTGGATGGGTTCAACGAACGAGCGGACTGGGCATTAGATGGCGCGGCGTCTGAGGCCGCAGTGTTTACTCTCTTCTGTTGCGTTCTTCTAAAAGGAGGCGTAACAGAGAGGGGCACAGGTGGAGAGGCGATAACGGAGACGGATAGAGAGAGATATATATGCATAGATGTATGTGTATACATGTATAGAGCGAGAGAGAGCGAGAGAGAGAGAGTAAGAGAGAGAGAGAGAGAGAGAGAGAGAGAGAGAGAGAGAGAGAGAGATGAGGTCAGAAGGAAAAGTTTCGGTGGGATGAATTATGCCCATTCATGAATGGCTCTTCTCCGAAGCGATGACACATGAAAAAGGGTCATCGTTCTGCAATCAGTTTGAACAAAATTTGATGTGCATGTATATAAATGGAAGTGAGATTTTATATATCGAAGAAAACAACACAGGTTTCTAATTTTTTCTTAAGCAACTACAAAATTCTCAGAAGCTTGCTTCGACGGAAATTCTAGTGAGCTAAGAACAGCAGAAATCATCCACAGAAGACACCGTCATGGAACCCGGAACATTCGTTCATAATCCAACTCGCTATGCACAGAAAGGCCAATTCTTTTCGATTGTTCTTGATGGTATCACAGAAGGGGAGACAGAATTCCCGCCGTAAGGGAAATTTCAGGAGAGAGACGTTCCCTTCTCAGCCAGCCCGCCATCTAACTCCTCTGACGGCAGCTGCAGACGCTGCAGAAGGCGTCGGCGATGAAGCCGTGAAGGTCCGGCGGGTTCAGCGCTACGTAGCAGTAGACCAGCTCTTCCATCTCCTCCCAGCTCCGTACGCCGACCGCCGTCACCATCTCCGTTATCGACTCCCGGAAGTCCCGCACCGGGTCAAACGAGCACTGGACCGCGCAGAAGGCGTCGGCGAAGATCCCGTGGGCGTCCCCCGGAAGGGTCGCCGAGAAGCTGAGATCCACCGCGGAGTACCGCACCGTCTTCTTCCTCCTCCTCATCTCCTCCGATCTCTCTAGTTTTTGCCGTTCAGCGATGGAGGCCTCCTTCCCTCTTCAACGCCACTGCGTCTTCTACGGGCAGCCTCACGGGGACCAGTCGGCGGAGTTTACCTTGGAGTCATGGGACTTTCGGCTCTATCCGGATCATGTGATGTGGATCCTCTTACTACTGGTGCGGTGTCCAGTTCATGGCGTTAGGGCAGCTCGACTTACCATGTGAAGATAGAATACGGTGGACCCAGAACGAGTTGATTCCTGCGTTTGAAACTCGAAAAGGTTTAGTCAGAATCCCTGGACTGTTTGCAGCTTTGTCATGTCTGCCGCCTCTCTCTCTCTCTCCCGCCAAGTCTGTCTGTCTGTCTGTCTCTTCCTCTCCCTCCGTAGGAAAGCTACACCGGGGTTCTATCATCGTCCCAATTTCCGAGATGGCCCCTTAGATTGCCCTAGTAGCCCTGAACAAAATTACCCAAGTGAGTCACTTTCTCAGGCTAAACTTAGGAAATGGAGTGGGCATAGAAACTTCTATCAAGACCATAGAACTTTCCATCTCCCGCCGCTGCCGGAGGGCTTACGGCAGGTGTCATTGGGCGGTGATAGGTCGCCGGAGTAGTACCCTCGGGGTCATCCTCTCCTCTGTCGCACCGTCTCGTCTCGAGGAACTGTCCGTCTGTCGTGAAACAGTTCAGAGAGCCCCAGAGCTCCGACGGCGTCCTCCCCTATCTCTCCAGCTGAGCAATCTCTTGAATTATCTGTTTAACGAAGGTTTTGCAGGTAGTTCAGAAATCAAATTCTCCTGATTCGGGCAACCCTAGGGAGAAGGAAGGAGATGGGCAGGTCGTATTGGTACACTGTCCAGATGCTCCTCCCCAGCCCTATTGCCGCTGCATGTGACTTTCCAGATTCTGTGTGGAGGCACATGGTGGTATGGTCGTCAGTAGGAGATCTTCATCTATTGGAGATGGGTTCCACAGGCGCGTCCAGCAGATTCATGGGTCCGACAAGTAAAGAGGACATGAATCCAGACGACTGTGCTTTAGGGTAAAAACACCTCGACAAAGTACCCAGAGCACTTTCAGCAAGTACTCCCGTTTTTCTCTCTCTCGGGAACTCCTTGTAGTGTGGCTGGCAGTGGCCACTTGCAGATTTAGGGTGGAAAGAACTCATCTTTTGTTGCCCATTTTGGCAGGAATCGAGCTGGAGTTGACCTGGGATGAGGAGGGTTTCCTTAGGTTGTGAGCTGGGCTATGGGCCCAGTAGAGAGGAGTTTGGACTCTCACTCTGGTTTCCGGCCCGATATCAGGCGTAGAGGACTGGTTACCCTCTGATACACAAATTTACCTTCTGATACACAAATTCCCTTCGCTCCCAGAGATCTCGTCGGCGAGTTTTCCGGCTGCCTTCGCCGCGACTGGGGCGACGAGGTAACTACCATCGCCAGTTCTCCGCCTCTGCTTGATCGTTCTTCCTGCTCTTCCTCACCAATCGCCCTCATTTCGTCCGCTCCTAGGACAGCACGGTCTCCGAATCTCTCATCTCCCCTTCCGCGTCCCTTCTCTCTGTGTCCATGGTAGTGTAAAGGTGAACCTGACGGATTCTGTGAATCGATCTCAGAGACGGGCAGCGATCGTCCGACGAGAAATTGGATTTGCGTAATTAGAATTTTTCCTTCTCGCCATCATTCTCCCTCTCCCTCTTTCCGCGGCCGCGCTGCTGTCTATCCGACCGTCATCGCTCCGTCGTTAGGACGCGTGGCCCTCAGGTTGCCATCACTTCGGGCCCTTCGTTCGCGGCTGGCAGACGCCTGCGCAGTAGAGATGCGAACCTTCTGAACTCTTGGCCCATCCGTTTACATTCATTCTGTCATCAATACCCTAATGCACTCCTGACTGATGAATTCCTGTCGGACCAGTGCCTAGGTGTCGTCTTCTGAGGTTAAATGGGGTGTTTCTTGCATTCCTTCTGTCTTCTCATGGCCTCTGTTCTTCTTTTAAACGGGAGATACCCACTGCAAATTCATGAATTAGAGGGTGCCCCCGAATCATTTTAGCTTCCATTAAACTATTTGACGTCGATCGACATCCTGCTTTCATTAATTTCCATCCCAATTTTGAAGAAAAAGATACGGACAGCATTGTAGATCGTCCTCCATTTCTTTTCCTTTCTCGTATAGACGGAAGGGAGAAGAAAAGAAAGGGAAGGAATGACTGAAGAAAGAGCAGGTTTCCTAAGTGGGGTACCCCTGAATGCTGATAACAGTATCACTGCTAGCCACTACAGGTCACTGATGGCGTTACTGTAGCTTCAGGAAGAGTAGGATTTGGGCACTGGGGCTGGAGGGTTCATCATTAAATTTATAATAGGTCGTGTTCTTTACAGGAATACATCCACCCACCCACCCACACACACACACATATCCCTATGCATATATCTTTTATGTATAGGGACATCATTTTTCTCTTCTTTTCCTCCTGCGAATCCTGTTTTTCTCTCACACTAGGCAATTTGGCCAATGGCTACCTTGTTGGCTTTCATTTGTGATCAGAAGTCCGTGATCCACCCACCCAGAAGGAATAGAAAGGGTATCACTACCGTCTGGAAATCTGGTTCCACTGGGCCTTGGGTGGCGCCATGACTTCACCTTGTTAAGACAATGGAAGAAGAATAACTATTGGCTTTCATTTGGCCAAGCTCCTCTCTGTTCCTATGTGTCAAGATGCAGTCGAACTGGGGAACGCTGGGTATATGGTTGACTCTGATGATATCCATTATGCACAATTCTAAAGGTAGGACATTGATTAGCGTCTAGAGTGGAAAAATTTAGATTTCTTAAATAGTACCGAGCCCGTTACTTGGATTGTTTTCAAATGAAATCTTCCGTATGAACTATGAAATAAACCTACATGTGTATTTATCTATCCCATTCGTTCATTTTCAGGTAGTTGACTATTTGGACCTGTTTGTGCATCATGGACATCATATCTCAGCTGCAAGAGCAAGTCAACACGATCGCTGCTCTCGCTTTCAACACGTTTGGAACTTTACAAAGAGATGCACCGCCCGTTAGACTCTCCCCCAACTATCGTGACCCTGTGGCTCCTTTGTCAGACGACACAATCAACATTGCAGAGCAGCCAAAGTTAATGAGCGCTGCCCTGGTTCAAGCTGCGAAGCAGGTCAACTTCCCTCTCTGAACGTTCATCCTCCGAGAAATTTGAGATTCTCCACATCTGGTGATATCTTCATGTTGCAGCTTTTCCAAGTATTCCTCTTGACTTTACCCTCGAGTTTTATCCCTCTGGAAACCAATACAACTGATGATGTTGTTCTAACTTCTCCCATATCCTAGATCTCCCCAGAGTAATTATACTATGCTGATGGTGAATTGTTTGGAATTCGTAACCGTTGTATACTTTTTTTCTAATATGTTTCAGTGATGAGCATAATTTTATTTTGCCTCTCTCTGGATTTCTGGACCAGTCGTATAACTTTATTTAAATTTATTCAAAGCGCATGGGTCTGTCTGCAGTTTGACATGCTCGTTTCGGCTCTGCCGCTGTCAGAAGGAGGTGAAGAAGCCCAGTTTAGAAGGATAACTGAACTTGAGGTAATGCTAATTTATTATTTAACTGAGAAGCATATATATAATTACGCCCTATGATAACAACTGGATACTATGAATTTCCGGGTTTTTAAACGTCATGCCAGGCAGAAAATGAAGCAGTGGGGGAGGAGCTTCAGATGCAGCTCGAAGCTGCAGGTACATTGCCTACTTTTCATGGTGATCAATGATCTTGGAGCGCTCATTGTCATACATGATCTCCTTTTCATGGTTCATCTTCTTTGTGCCCGTCTTTTTGTGAAGAATACTTCTTCCTTCTGGACAAGTATCTCTTCAGTTCTTGCATTCATCAGACTTACCATTGTTGCAACGATTCTTTCTAGTCTCCCTCATATTCTGCATGCTGCTTCCATCTCCAGAGGAAGAACTGCGACAGGTCCAGGAGCTGTTCAAGCAGGCGGCGGACAACTGCTTGAATCTGAAGAGGCCAGACTGATTCTCGTACATTTAGTTGACTCATAGATGCTGACCAGACCGCAAGATGCATAATTGGTCAACCCTCCAGCAATGGGACGTAGTTTTTCTTCTTCTTGGAGCAGAGTATAGGTGATCTGTTGGCTAAGCTAGTCTTTCAGAGATGGAGCAAGATTATGCAACAAGGTGCTGAATGCTAACATTCATGTGTCATCGAGTATCTGCTGTTAGTATCTGAATGACCAAACTTCTTGAAGGCTGTGATTGATGGGCTTTCATGTTTCATCGAAAGGGAACTGGTTATCCTGAATAAGAACATCAATACAGCCAACCATTTTTGAGAACAAGTTCGCAAATTATGAAAGCCAACAAACTTAGCATAACTAATGCTGTCTGATCGTTCTAACCGCAAGTGGGGGTGATTTTCAACATCTATTTTGAAACTGCATGATAACCATTGAAATGTCTCATCATAAGATACCAATAAATTCTCAATTCGTCAACAGGACTAAAAACGTAGAATTTAAACCATTGATAAACAAAGTCATGCCTAGATCATCCAGAAGATAAATTTAATCAGTTACGAGAAAATACCTTATGTATTGCCATGATCTTGATGAAAACATCTTTACAAATCTTTAATTTTGTATTTTGATTTATTTAGGGTTACTCCTAATATTATGTGCTAAGAAGGATATTTCCTGTGGTTTATGTGAGGTCAAAACCAAGCAATTATTATGAAAAATTATTAACAATGAACTCTGAAATATTTTGGAAACCAATTTCGATTATTCAAAAAGAAAGGCACATCAGTTTAAAATAGCCTGAACACAGAATCTTGAGACTGGTTTAATTGTGTTGAATTAAAGCTATTTTAAAACCTTTACAATAACATATCACAATATCTTGAGACTGGTTTTGATTTTTTTATGACTTTTACAAGATTATCAAATAGTTTTGATTATACCTTATTTTAGTTGTTTCAAGTAAATATTGGATGGCTCAATATGCTCTGTAAAAGGGGTATTTCAGCCTACATAAGGTTTGAGCTCATATACTCATTTTAATCAGCAGCACAAAAAAAAATATCGATGATCATTGTGTTCAATAGGAGTAATATTTCTACTTTCTCATTTGAAAGTCTTTATATGCTCTTGGGATCATAAGGCCCATCAGTTATGATTTGTCAAATACCAAAATTAGTGGATTGGAGAAAAGATTTGGTTCAAATTTTCGGTAGGTATGATTCATGTCATTGCATAGAGGAGTTGCATAGTGCTCTTCCATAGTCCTGAAGTGCTAACTAGTAGACGTACATTTTTTGCTATATAGTACAACTCAAAGATCACCAAGTCCTTTGAGAGGGGTGAATTAGTGCTTTATCATTTTTCTTCTTTTAAGAGTTATTAGAAAAAGATATGAAATTGTTGAACACCAACAAATTATAGTAATTTGGTCAATCTGACCTATTTCACTCTGAAAAGACAAAGTCATTAGCTTTCACTAAGTTGCAAGTGAAACAGAATAAGTCACATAGTTTCCAATAACTATGAGATAAAGCCTTTAGGTTCCTGTAAATATTTTAAAGACTCAAGGAGCCTATGTGATTAATTATGTAGCTTAAGTGACCAACTATTGAATATCTAGGGATCTATAAGCCTATCTATTGAATGTTGTCACTTCAACGACCAATCATTAAATCTACATGCCTCAGCAAACCTATGTGCTGAGTTCTATGGCTTCAGTTAACCTAGGAATGAAATTAAGATCAGTTTCATGTTCTTGCATTTTAAGCTTGTAGCTTTCTTCACTTAAAACCTTTGGTCTTAGGTTAAGAAGGATTGGATGTAAATTAGAGTTAATGAATGCTTGAGCACAACTAGTTTTCCCTATTTTTTAAGTGCTCAAGCTTACAAAACTTGAGCTTAGGTTCTTTGAAGAAGGTGGAGTAATGTCCAAAGTTGTTAATTTAAACACTCAAATTTAATATTTATAACTGAAAATTTAAATAAACTCTCTTTAATTATATGGATTCCAAATCGATCCTTAGGGAAATCAAAAAGTTGAAAGTATCATTTTAATATAAAAAGTGTGAAAAAAATAAGAATCATATAGTAGTTTTTGTAAATTATGAACATTAAAAATATCTAACTCTAAAGATTAAAAAAAATCAGAAAATATAGATAACTAACTCAAATTTAATATCCCTACAAGCTATCTTGTAATTCAACATGTCACTCACTAAACAACAAAATTATTGGAGGTTGAAAATTAGAAATCGAGAATATAAAAAAATAGAGAAAATAATTATTATAAAATCTAGAAGCTTATACTAAACATATTCTAAACATAGAAGATAAGAACTTAACTATGCTATATTTTATGAAAAGATATTAACCTAAATCTATGTAGCACTCATGAAATCAGATTCAATCTAAGAAAGGTCAAAAAGAAAGAAAAAATAGAAAATGATTCTTCTAAAATCTAAAAATATACTATAAATATTTTCTAAAATCACGAAAAAATTACAAAAGATAGAAAACTAATTAAATCAATACATTTCAAAATATTGTGACCAAAATTCATGTGTTGCTCTTGAAATCAGATTTGATCTAGAAAAAAGTTGAACCAAGAAATCTATAAAATAATTTTTGGTGATATGCTTGGCAATTCTATCACAAAATCACCAAAACATGATGTTTCAAAGAAATAAAATATTCATTGAATTTTAAGAAAGTGAGGTATCCAAAAAAAATCATAAATTTTAAAGGAATTGAATGAGTTGATACAAATCTCATTTCCTTTGTCTTGGTGTTACAATAAAGATATGAGAGATTAAAGATAGAGAAGAATAACTTACTAGAAACTCAATAAAATGTCATCTATTGAATGATAATTATTTAGAAAATAAGAGAGACTCTAAGGAGGTAAGAAATAAGAGGGAAAGGTGGAGAGATCTTGTTTGCAACCTTAAAGCCTCAACTATGTAGCACCCAGCTGCCACCTTCTACTTGTGCACAAAAAAAAGCCCCCTTTCATTTGTCATCTTCCAAGTTTATATACCTGTTCCTTTTTGGGCCTTCCTTCTCTATCCTTTGCATGACTTCATTAAGTCTTATCTTTCGGGTGTTGTGTTCAATTTTTTTTATGCCCTAATCTGCCCTTTCTCATATTTGAGGTTTTTTGGATTTAACCTTTCATGTTAATTCTTCTCACTTTGACAAATCCATAGAAATTAATCTCCTTAGAATAAAATTTCAAAATTTTAAATCCTTGTTCTTGATAAATTAATATAAATTCTTAGGGTGATAAAACTTAGAAAAAGGTTATAAAATATGATTAATTAAATACATAAATGCATGATGCATATATAGCTAATTTTAGAGTCATTTATACATTTTTTTTAATTTACTCTAATTTGTTGAGATATAGTAATTCATGCTTATTATGATTCAGTAATACAAAAATTAAAGAGAGAATTGATTAATTCTTAGTGATAAATAAATATTTATCATGAACATAGAAGCTCACTCTCTCTAAATTTCTTCTTCTATTTCATGTAAAGCATAATATGTAGAAGTTATTAGTTCATATTGTCAAAGTCATAAAAAAATGAAATATTTGAATTTAGATGAGTTGTCTGTTTCATCATGTTCCATTTTCAATTATATTTCCAATGAACTAATATTTTAATATTAGCTTGCATGTAAAAACATTTTAAGGATATAAAATATGAATCTAGACTATTTTACACTTGAATAGATTTCTATGTAATTATGTGATTTAATTTATACTAACTGAAAATTAATGGGTAGCATAACTTTATCATTTATAGTAATATTAAATCCACATGACTATACAAATTTAGGCAAAAATTAGTAATTACGCATATGAAAAATAACTAATTAAGCCCTCTCTTGGTTACTCTTCTTGTCAACTTGCAGGTAATAGTTAACATATTTAACCTTGATTTATATTTTTACTAGAAGCTAACTTAGTGTTGCATTCAACTGGAAATGAAAAAATTAGCAATCAATCACTATATATTTGGTGTGCATATTTACAAATTGAGTAAATTTATATTTAAGCTAACACATTTTCTTTGCATTCATGACACAAATTCAATTCGTGGAAACCAACTTATACCTAGTAAATAAGGAATTGATCTTGTACAAAATCTTGAGAGATATGTGAAAGAGTTAAAGTTTATTTTACATTTTTATAAGTAAATTTGACTTAACATGTGATGCTGAGATATTAATAGCTTAAATTTTGATGTCACATACTCCTTTATAGTGGTTGTGAAATTTAACTTCTGGCTCTACATAACTAAACTTTAAACCCTAGCAAGGATGTTTTTCTTATCTAACTTCCATTAATGACAATAACTGGTGGTATTCCATCAATGGAAAGCTTCACAGGGGCGTAGGAATTTATATTTAGTAAATATTTTGTTCAACCTTATTCCAAGGAGTAAGCACTTGCATACTAGAATATTTTGCAAATTTATCGATGCTCAATGATTCTCCAATACATGAGATATCCAATCTATTCCAATAAATCATTTGAATCAATCAAAATATCCATGACGTTTTTGTGCAGCAAGATTCCATAATCAGCTGTTCAGAGGTGCCCTGAAATCAGTAGGATTACATAAACATAAGTCCTCCCAATATCAATGCAAGGGAATTCTCTCATGTTTTACTTTCAAGATTCGTGGAAACTTAGGAGACTTACGTATGAACACCATGCGTATTACGGGGACCAGCGGCAATGCAGAAGAACTACTTCCGTTCAATATTTTCTGAGCTGCATGGTTAAGTTTGACCATTCCCAATGGTCGACGGACGAACCTGACGAAGAGTCCTGAGCGGGAGGTGTGAACGTTCTCTCATCCTTTTTCAAAGCTTCAATCCACTTCCTTCGAATCTAACGGCTAATGTCTGCGATAGGTCCCACGAGAGAAAAGCCAAGACAAGGAGGACCGGCAGACCTAACCCCCGGGTTAGTGATCTATCTTGCTTTCCACACCCTGAGCAGACCTAACCCCGCGGTTCTCCTCTTTTCGCTCCGCGTCTTCTCCCTTTTCTCGCGCGCTTTTTCCTTCTAAAACGGAATCTTATCTACAACTGGTTGCTCCACTGAGCCCCTTCCTCTCCCACGCGGTCGTACTCTCAAAGCTTCTGCTCCTATGGAGTTTGACCAAAAAAGTCCTCAAGAATGACGAGTATGCCAGTTGGTTTACTGGAATCACAGAAAAAGCTAGGCGCTACATCTTCCTGACTAGAAGTCAAAAGCTGTGGACGCGTCGAACGAAATGTGGATGCAAACACTGGAGTTTGAATCCACCGGTCTCTATCACCGGTTAGGCGCAGCAACAGAACCCTAAGATGCATGCTCCCTTACGCGTCTAAAGATAGGGCGGAAAGATGACCAATTTTCAAAGTTTTCGGCAGCTTTGCGGACGGTAGCTCCCGGCAACTATATAAGCCGACGCCTGGAGTCAGCTGAAGACGCCACGGAAGAGGAAAGGTTTGGAAGATCGCCATGGCCACTAGCATGTGGACTTCTCACCCCTTCCTCTTGTTCCTGGTAGCCTTTGCTTCTCTCAACCTGATTCCTCTTCCCTTCAATGCCGACGCAAGGATACTTCTTCACAGCTCCGCTCTAAACGAAAGCAAAGCTTTCTCGTTAAAGGGCGGCGGCGGCGGCGGCAAGGGCTTCGGCATTGGCGTGAGTCGTAACGGTTCAGGCATAAACATCGGCATTGGTGGGGGAATTGGCGGCGGCGGAGGGACCAGTAAAGGCGGCGGTGTGAGTGCCGGAGGAGGGGCGGGTGTCGGTGTTGGTATCAATATAGGGAAGGGTGGTGTCAATATTGGCATTGGTGTGGGTGGGGGCGGTAGTGTCAGTGCCAGAAACGGCAGCGTCAGCGTAGGCGGGGGTGGTGGGAAGGGGATTGGGATTAGTATCGATAAGGGGGGAATCAATGTTGGTAGTGGAGGCGGAGTTGGCGGGGGAGGCGGAGTTGGAGTTGGTGGAGGAAGCGGGGGTGGTGGCGGTGGTGTTGGTGTGGGGAGAGCAGGAGGAGCCGTGGGTCAAGGAGGAGGTTCAGGAGGCACAAACGGGAACAGTGGAGGTGGCAGCGGAAGTGGTGAAGGATCGGCTGGAGGAGCAGGAGGAGGAGGTGGTGGTGGCGGCGGTGGTGGACCGGGTGATGGTGGCCGAGGTTAAACCTTTCCTCATATGTGACAACCTAAAAACAATGAGTTCTCATAAACAGAGAGCTCTCTCTCTCTCTCTATCTCTCTCTCTCCCTCATCATTTGTAATAGCTTCAGTATAGTCTGTACTTTGACTCCAACAAGATGCACCATACCAAGATTCCCCAGTGGTACATAACATGACGCATATGCGGAATTGGTCAGAGGACCAAATTCCATGATATGAACAAGTAAATATACCATTTTAGTATTCATGTTTCTCTGGTATTGTGTTTAATCTAAATTACATCGAAAACGTATTTCCGATCAATCTAACTCATATTTCCACGGAAAATTCTCCATTCCTTCTATTTTAAGTATTCTTAGGCTTTTATTTAACGAAATTAACTATGCTACTTTAATATTTACGATTACGAAGCCAAAGAAGGAAAATAATAAGTCAACAAGGGAAAATGCTTCCTAAGCGAAGGTACTTTTTGCCTAGGTCAACAATTATTAATCTCTATTTGTCATACAGAACAGAGAGATTACAGTCGGAGTGTACCTCCCTTTGATAATGCCGAATGCGAACCCCTAGTCGATCTGAAAGTGGACAGTCTGGCCTTTAGTGCCCATTTGCTGGCCAAGGAGATAAGAATTCTGGCCTTGGATGACTATGGGTTTCGCTAGGACCCACCTTCCTATTAAAACGTAATCAATCATTGAAACTTAATTATCAGACAGATCCGCGGCCAATAGGACACCCATGTGTTGGCATTATCAAACTAGTGGCCAAAGTATGCTCATAAGATCCATGTTTCATGTTTTCCATCTAGCCGAATTGCGCAAGATAAAGCAGACAAGACGATGCTTTCACTCATGTTCTCCACGTGAAACCAGTCTACGAGAACTACGCGGTGCCGTACGAAGGACGGGTCCGCTTCCTGCTCTCTCATCTTGCTCGTGAAGAAAATGAGGAAAGACTAGGACAGTTTCCCCTCCTTCAAAGAAATGATCAGCCAGGGTTGAGTGCGATGTCACTGTACTGCCACGAGGTGATACATCTTCCCCCGTCTCTATTTCTCTCTCTTAATCCCTCAATCTATTTCTATCGTTTTCTCTATTTATGGATCCCGTAGACAGACATAGGAAGCTAACTTAGCCATGAAACGAATGAGGGAACCGTTGTGTTCACTTCCTGTCTTCTGGCTCCTGTGGTCGGCAGCAGTGTTGCAGTGCGGACTACCCCGGGGAGTACATGCTACAAAACTTGTCAGGGCCCTGTATGTATTTGGCGACTCGCTGGTGGACGTAGGCAATAACAACCACCTTCGCTTCTCCGTCTTGAAGGCAAACTACCGCCACAATGGCATCGACTACCCCGGCGGCGAGTCCACCGGACGCTTCAGCAATGGCAAGAATGCCGCCGACTTCATCGGTATTATTTCATCATCTCTCTTTCTCTTTCTCCTCTCCTGCAAGTCGTTTTTAGCCCATTAATCATAATCGGATTTGATTAAATGCTTTAAAATTGCGAAAAATTGTCTAGTATGGTTCATATGTGCGATACTGCAAATTATGCCAGTCAAATGTTTTCTAGGACGAGGACAATGAGGTGACAATAAGATCAATAGACCCATTTTTTATCCCGCCAATTGACGAGATTATTCTAACAAATGCAAGAGGCACTTCAAGCCGGAAAGCTAAACGACGTAAGCTAAGAAGACAGCTATGCATATTAACCTGTTGCAGCGATGCACGTTGGCTTGGAGTCGCCGCCTCCGTACCTGTCCTTGCGGTCCACATCCAACAGGACAGCAGTGTTTCTCTCAGGCGTGAACTTTGCCTCCGGCGGATGTGGGATCTCAGACGAAACGGCAAAAAAATTAGTAAGTCGTGAATTACGAATGGGGGGGAGAATGCCCCACTGGTCGTGCATGCCGAGGTTTAATGACGGCCTCCACCGCAGGAACAATGCCTCCCTCTCAAGAAACAGATACGATACTACTCACATCTGCGGCAGTCCCTGGTTCAGCAGCTGGGCAACATGAATGCGGGGAAGCATCTGGAGAGGTCGCTCTTCTTGCTGGTCATCGGAAACAACGACATCTTTCATTACGTGAAAGCCGTGTCTGAGGGGTATCTTTGGATTCCTCCTCCTCTGGAGTTCATCGATTCCCTGGTCCTCATGCTAGAAGGCCAGCTGAAGGTAACCAACAGCTGAAATCGGAGCAAAAACTGTTGTTGCGTCCTCCGACAATAATTTAATTAGGACTAATGGCACGTAAGAAGAAAAGTCTTATACGCATTTTTCAGCCTATGTATTAATTGGATTGTTCGTAAGGATTTGCGTTTGAAAAATATTTTTTAATTACTTCAAAATATTAGAAAAATAATAATTTTTCGATTGATCAGTAAGATCTATACCGTAAAAATAATACTGCATTTCAAGAAAGATATAAGATATGCTTTGTTTATTTTGTAATGCCTAACTTTACATTAGGTCCACATTATGAGGGCTCAAAATGGTTTGAATACTCTTGTATTCGTTACTATGAAAATCAATTTTTGGTTTCAAAGATCACCCAACTTTATTTGATACAGATTAGTTTTAACTTAAATTCCCTATTATCTGCAACAAAAAAATTCTGATGGCATCAACATAATACGATATAAACGAAATGAAGAACAGTACGGTAACCCATCATTGTAAATTCTGTAAAAGACTTCGAGAGAAAATTTGAGGTTGGCCATTATAGTCCAATAGAAGGAGCATTTTATGGATTAAATGTTCAACGTCTGATACTTGGCAAGTGAAGTCATACTTCTGAAATAAAGTACTGTGTTAACACCAGTGATGTTGTGAGTTAGCATGGTAGTAATTGACAAAAACTAGTTTGAAGAAGACAATGATATTATGACCTGAAATATAGGAGCAGGTGTCTTGTAGAGAACTGTATGAAGTGGAGGACATGCATCGATTTACAGACTTCTAGTTTTCCAATAAAAGTTTGAACACTATTACTTTGAAAAATATTTTTATTGTATTTAATGGAATCTAGGCCAGAGAAATTAACATGCTCTTCTTTTCATCTTTAATCTCGCTTGAGTCCACTCGCAGAGGTTGTATGAACTCGGCGCCAGGAGGCTCATCTTCGTTGGGACGGGTCCTCTTGGCTGCTGTCCATCCCACAGGATCGGGAACAAAGGATGGAAGTGCGACCCTTACACGAATTGGCTCTCCTTATCATACAATACTGCTGTAAGACAAATGTTGCAAAAAATGATATCTGGGTTTCACGATTGGAGATACTCCTTCTTCGACACATATAAGGCCGTGATGGAATACATCGACATGCCGGAGAGATATGGTGAGATAAGCCCTCTCTCTCTCTACCTCTGTTTCTGTCTCTGTGCATATATGTATGTTTATTTGTGTGTCTGAAGAACTCCAAATTCTTGCTCTCTTTGAAGGATTTGTGGAGGCGAAAACTGCTTGCTGCGGACTGGGACCTCTCAGAGCGAAGGTTCCCTGCCTTCCCATATCATACTACTGCTCAAACAGGGATGAGCATGTCTTCTGGGACTTTCGCCATCCAACGGAGGCCGCCTACAGGAACCTCTGTGACATGATCTTGAGAGGTTCCGAAGAATATGTGTATCCAATCAATGGGAGTCAGTTGGTCAGCATCTGACTCACTTCTGTGCTTGCCTTCACATTACAACAGGCTGGCTTGAAGACGTCCGTTATGAAACCTAAGATCATTTCAATATTTGCAGAGATTCTTCGGTAGCTAGCACAGATCTGACGAGAACGTCGTTTGTGATGACGATATTCTTGTGTTCCTTATACCTATCCATCAAGGAAATCCCAAACATGTAGGAATTCTTGTTAACATAAACTACTAGGGGAAGATGGGCATCCTTATTCCCCTTATTGCATAATGGAAGACTGATACAAACATACCACGAGGGATAGAAAGGGAGGGAAAGGCAATAGAGGAGAAATACACCATATTTAGCATGGTTTGGAGAATACTCTTATAACTACGGTTGCACAAGTATCTTATTCTTTCATCAGAATCGTCTTGGAACCCTTGATGTGGTAGCACACCCTCGCACACACTAATAGTGGCCTCAGCTCCCCTCCCCTTATTCTGCGCAGAGTTTGGCAAAATACCAAGGGTCAAATGACAGTTATGCCCTAAATCGAATTTTGGTTAGTAGCCAAGGAACCCATTGGAACCGATTAAGGCCCAATATATCATTTTCCACAAACTCCAATATGAACTTTATAGCTTTCGATAGTAAGGGACAAGAAAGAATCATTCAAGAGTAATTGAGATAGATTCTCATGACAGCCCCAGAGATGTTATATGTACTAGAAAGAAGATCCAAACTGCCAAAATAAGTCTTCACAAGAAAATTGAGCATAATCCCTAATTCCGCTCACATTTCATCATAGATCTCTTGCTTCGTTGGGTGAGCAATGGATCTAGCTAGCTCAAGGGGCCTTGTACAATCTGACTCACATGAGAGTTGTTGGGATTTTGATCTTCGGATCTATGAGAGAAGTTGGACACTAGATCCAGCCTACATGTTAGTTGAGAGGCTAAGTGATGAGAAGAAACCGCTGCTGCTCAATGCATTGAAGATTGTTGCATTGTGAGAGATTTGCAGTTGTATATGCAATCAAAGAAAGGATCCTGAGCTACTCTACCCATGTAACATATACTTTACTTTTGCAAAGGAGGTACCACAAAAACTTAATAAAAGGATTCCAACAAACACTACTTATATTCTGTGGTATCTCGACTTGGGAAAAGTAATGTCTAAATTCCTTAAAAAGTATTATTTTGCAAATCCCGTACAATACAGTTAAAAAGGACAATAGGACAAGTGATGAGGTGCTTTTGAGTAGGCTAATGAATGATAATAAAGACTTGCCGTTTTAGAAATCTATTGTTTACAAATGATCATATAAAGATAAAAAAATCATAAATAGATTACTCTTGCACTAGTGTTCAGATGAACTTCTAAATTAATAAATATACCCCATTTATTTTTTACATTTTAATTTTATAGAACAAAACAGTGAGCAAAATTATCTTGAAAGGCATTTTTTTTTTCATAACAATAGAAAAAAAATTGAAACAAAAGATAATGAGACAGAAAATATGTCAATCCATGTGATGACCCATCTAAAGATCAATGAAAAACAGAAGGTGGAGACTGGCTATTTCACTATGAATTTTGTTGAACTTTAGGATAGAATCCTCATAGGGTGGATTAAGTCAAGTGACTTAATCGCTATAAATTCATTGAGTTAGAATGCATATCAAGCCTCCTAAATGCTGAATTGAAAATAATTAGAGAAAAACTCATTCACCTGCTTTTCTCGATACAATCTGCCCAGATTTCAGATCCCTTGAATTTTAGATTTATTCATCAGGAAAGGAATAATGGAAACAAAGGGTATGAATCCTTAGTGAGTGTAAATTTATAATATAATTGTTATGTTTATCTTACTTTTAGGAGAATATTTGCAACCAATGTGTTATTAATATTGATTTGATGTAGCTTGAAATCTTTCAAATATAAATGATCTGAGGTAATGCTATCTCAAAGAAATTGGTAAGAGTTTTATAAATTGATGGTTTCTTAGACATTCCCAAAATGTTCCTTAAGATAATTGTTAATAAATTTATAGTTCTTCCACACTGTAGGGTTCTTCAATTTCGCTTATAGATAATTGAAAATAGCAGAACTGATGTCATTCTCTCCTTTCATTTTTTAAGAGTTCAACCTAGTTCATTCAAGAAACATCCAACCTAAATATTTCATCAAAGAAAATACGAGTCGATTCTTCAGTTACTCGTTTAAAGAAGTTTGATGTTGATAACTAGTCATTTAAAATAATATACAAAAAATAAAATCAAAAACATGTTATTAATTAACTAATGTGTAGATAAAATTCTAATCAATAGATATAATATGTTTTTGAGGTGATATATAATAAGATAAAATTTAAATTATAATAAAAGAAAAAGATAAAATGAGGAGAAAGAAAGTGTGCTAGCATGTGTCAACCTAGAAAAAATACAACAAAGAAATATGTTTGCCCATGTGTTGACACAATTAAAGTAGAGGAAAGAGTGTGTCGGCCCTTGTGTCAACTAAACTGAAGTCAAAGCAAGTGTTAGGAGATAGAGAAAATGAATATTTTCTATAGGGATATCTAACACGTATAACATGTTAGAAGATATGAAATGTGCTAGAAGATCTTTAATGAGGATGGCAGATCCTGATATGTTGAAACATCAAATAAAAGTATGACAACTTGTTTATGCTGGCTAGTCAAATCTCAAAGACTTGAATGTGCAAATTCAAGTTTTGGGGCTCTATGAGTACCTCATTACAATATCTTTCAATCTACTTCTTAATGATAGGTAAAAATCTTTCACTCTCTAAAATCTTTTTAAAGTTTCCCTCCAAGAACAATCTTAATAAAGCTTTCTCAAGTACCACAAACAAATCAATAAAGCATATCCACTTAGCATTAAATAAGTCTGGAAGTTAAATGAATATTATTTTTATGTTAGAGCACTCTAGGAGTGCTCATATTGAGATAAAGAAAATCATAAGGAGACAGTTCCGTTATGATTTAGGTACTTGATCTTGTGAAATTTGTTTTAGCTTTCAAAGGGAGAAAAGTAGAAACAAGGATAGGAACCCTTTTTAAGTGGAAATAGGAGAAGAACACCAAATCAAAGTGTATGTAATTTCATTATTTTCTTTGTGTTATTCTAATAAACTGACTCAATAAGGCCTCCATCCTTAGATTTTACCAAATACATAGTTATATATATATGTAATAATAGGGTTGAACTGTCTTCAAGGGATTTAACAGTTCTATCTAATTTTGTGAAATACAGCTTGACTTATTGGCTTGGACATTTTCTATTGATCTAAAACCAATATATTCTTAGAGACAACTCACCCAATGGTATGTTCTGTTTTTGTCATTTTGTGCTGTCTAACACGCCTAAATTTATTTTCCTCATGTGTTAACATAAATGTTAAAATATAGATTAAGTTAAAATATAATTAACTCTATATAGAGAAAACTTGCCACTAAAATTAAGTTAAAATACTCAATAAATCTATAATCATTTTATATCATACATATTATCTTGGGCATTTTCAAGGTCACAAGAATATTTTATTTATCTTGTAAGTGTAAACTGATGATTTTACCCTTAGTCTGGACATTATTAGATTGAAGGCTTCCTCAATAAAAAATAATCATATCATTGAAATGATTAATTCTACCATCATAAATTTTGTCATGTCCAATGTTATGCTCATTATAAAAACGTGTAGGGCTCTTAAAGCAAACAAAAAAATATCCTTCATTTCAACTAAATTCCTTGCAATGTGCATTGAGTATCAAAGGCTCAATGATCCTTTACATTAAATATTATATCCTTAGCAAGCCTAACCATTGAAAATATATCCACAACAAGTCTCCACTAAATGTAAAGCCCTTTGCAAGCCTATACTAAATTGATGTTTTGGGGAACCATAGAATAGGTTGATATCAAAAGGGTGCTCTTATAAATTACTTATAGCTTCCCTTAGTTGACTTCCTCTGTTCAAATATGCTGAGATAGCTAATACATAGTAAAGTTTTTGATAGCTTAAATATTAACAGATTCTCTTTCTTTCAAGTATTCAAGAAAATATTTTGGAGCATTAATTAGCATATGAAGTTTTGATAATGACAAACACATAAGATAAGAAATAAACCCAAATATATTAACTATTAACTGAATATGAAATACAAATAAATATTCTTCTCTACATGATCATGAACTTACTTAAATAGAAATTCATTAATAATAGAAATTAATGATATTAAATGTCGAAAAGGTAATTAAGTAATGCAATTGAGTCTCATTACTTTCTTTTTTATTTTAGAAAATACTAATTTTTACAAATATTACCATTCAGAAAATGTAATGGGTATCATATAATATTTACTGAAAGCTTATTATATATATTGTATAAATATATTTGAAAGCATAATTTCAATCATTCTTGATTCAAAGTTAATAGATTGAATCTAGACTATTTAACTAGTCTCTCATAACTTTATGAATATATGACATATTATCAAAATTAATTTATAAATGTCATGAGTTTTCAAAGTAATGATGAATTATATTGAAATCATATGCAAGGGTCTCTACTTCATATTTTCCTTTCATTTGAGGTGATTTAGATTAATTTTAAGTAAAAACTTATAACCTGTTTTAATGATGTATTTTTAATTATATTTTAACAAGAAAAAAATATTACTGAACACACCTAAAATGATAAGCTTCAGATACATAAATTAATGATTTATTTTTATGCATATTGGATTTATCTTAGAGGAGATATAGTCCTTAAAGATCTTCCATGTCATTAGTTTCTGATAGCTCAAATTTATTAGTAGTTTTAGATTTAGAACATTTATTAATGATAATCCTTCTATGATGATGAACAAGTTTTTAATGATCATCACAAATCTCTCTACCATCTCAAATTTCTTTTTAATAATTTACGAAGATAATTGTGTTTTAATTAGCATGGTCTCTTGGTTAAACATCAAGAAGACATTCAAGTTAGAAGTGAAAATCAGTTAAATCAT